TAAGAATAATAAGATGTTAAATGACCTATCGGTCGTACGGCGTAGGGCGTTAGGTATCGGTCTGACAAGCAAGCGGCTGGCGTTCGATTCTTAGTTAGGGTAAATATTATTTGTCACTTTATATCATCAGAGTTGTAAAAATTAGGTCTAGGTGAGGTGCAAAATCTAGTCGGCGCTTCATAAAAATAAAATTACATTAAATCAAATCTTTTTTATTATTTCAATTAAAGTAAAATTCAAGGAAAGTATATTGTAATTTTACAAACTTATCTAAAAATATTTATAAAATTACAAAACCTTGTAAAATTAGTAACCTCGTTGTATGTTTTGTAATATTACTAACGATTGTAATTTTAAATATTTTGCCTATTAGCTTCCAATAAATTTCTTGTAAAATTACAATAGAAATTTTTAACAGTAAGAGCGAAATATTCCCCAGCAAAAAGGTATCTCTCGGATTTATATAAATCAACTTGGAAATAGGTGAACCGTGTGGAACCAAAAGTTTGTCTCATCTAAACATCCCGCCCTGGTGTCCGCAATTAAAAAGATTCAATTAAAACTCGGTAACTAATTAGTTTAACAAGAACTTTAATGGATGGATTGGGAAAAAAGAAGGGAAAGGAAGAGTACAGAAGAGGAAAAAAGAAACAGTAAGTGAAGCTAATATTAAAGAGTTTTTTTTATATATTCATAAGAGCTTTTAGTAATATCCTTTATTTTTCATTACACCGTAGTTAAGTTAAGTAACGAATAGATAATTTCGTTAGATCGCGCCTTCTCTGGGACAGTTACTTTACTCCTGGGTGAGGGGATTACTCAACGTCGCGTTAATCCGTTTTAGGGTAGATGACAAACTCCGCCGGGGGTGCTACAGCTTTTCAAGCCTCGGCCATCGGCAGTCGAGCATGGATTTAATTAAAACGACCATCTATTCCGTCTATAATAGTTCAAGAGAACACTCACATGAACTAATTTATCTTTCATACCTCTTCCATCACTTCGAGGTTTTATATATCCAATTCGATATAATTATATATCCATTCTTTTTGCTCCTCAGAGAGCTTTTATTGAATCACGGGTTGCTTCTAATCCTAACTGTTCTGTAATATTACAATGTGTGTCAGGTTTATACAATAACATTGTAAAATTACAATACATCTTATTAGATATTTGCTGACAGAGGTGTTGAAAAATTACTACATCAATTGTATTTTATTTCGCATTGCTATACACTGATTTGTAATCTTACATTCGTTTTGTAATTTTACAAAAATTTTTAACAGTGTACGTAACACCTCCCGCGTCAATACCATATAGACCTCCTGGATTGTTTATTCAAATTGATTAAATAAAACTAAAGTCTGCTCGATAACATACTGTTATTATTTAGATAAAACCTGTTTACTAGATAGTAAATTATCTCCTCTCTTCTGAATGTGGATGCGGCTGGCGGAAGCTAGCTCGGCTCACCCTCGAAATATTAGTTGTGAGTGAGATAACAACAACAACTCTCACGGCGTAACTGAAATAATTAAATTCCAGGATGGAAACCCAACAGACAGGGGCCAAAGGTCCTCGCTTCTCCAGTAATATTATAATTAAAGTATACATTCGCCATTTCTCTAAGTACACCTGGCCCTTCTGTTATGATTTACACTCCGATGGTCATACCATTGTTAGTATTTGAACCGTAATTGCATTCCCGTTTAGCCTCTGCTCTATATATAGATGCAAAACGGTAAATTTTCTAAATAATTATTTCTCTTTTTTTTTTTATTTAATAATAATTTTTAATTTATTAATTAACCTCAACAATAATATTTACTAAGATGGACGCATTAATTCCAACCAATAGGAAAGAAGGAGAGAGACATCTACATGATTATGGCAGACGCAAATGAGCGAACCGTAACCTCTATTGAACACGTTATCTATTTGCCGATAATTAACATTAAAACAATTGCTCATTTCTGATTACATTGAATTGCTCATTTAAATCACCCGAAGGCGTCAACTGTTAATTTTAATACGCCAATAATTTATTGGTCTATTAAGTAGAAGAGTCATGATTGGATAACAATCCCTCGGAGCTTCGGCAATTAATTAAATCTCGTACAAACTAACACAGGAAATTATATAAACAAATATTAACGCTGTTTATTTAGTTAACTCACTTCCAATTCATGGATAATTTTTTTTAAATTAATCAGCTTTTATGCAGTGCGTCTTTTTATGTCGGATCAATCCTCGAGGATTATCGGATCGACTAGAATAGTGGATCAATTGGATCAACTCGAGGATTTTCTTATCCATACTTCAAGACTGTTAAACTCCTTTTTTTTTTCTATTTTTACGATTAAATTATCCGGGGTAATTTATAATCGATATCAATCTTCAAAGTGCTTTTAGTAGGTGAGAAAAAAATTTATTTTTATTACTGACTTCATCAAATTTAACGATAATTTGTAGAGTAGCTCATTATAAACTAATAAAAAACAATTTTAGTTTAATTTATTTATAGTTTAAAAATTAACTCTCTGGTATTGAGAAGATTTAGCGACAATGCGCCACCTGTTGGAATTTTTTAGAACTAAGTTTGGTAAAAAATTATATTCGGGTATTTTAAGTAATTTTAAGCTCTATGTTGTTAATTTTGATAAAATCAACATATTAATTGTTTTATATTCCTCTTTCATGTTCTCATTGAGGCCTTTAGGCCTCTAATGAAATAAAATCAATTTTAGATTAAATTATTTATATTTTAAAAATTAACTCTTGTATTGAGAAGATTTAGCGACAATGCGCCACCTGTTGAAATTTTTGAGAACTAAGTTTAATAAAAAAAATTATATTTGGGTATATTGAGTGATTTTGAGTCTAATAATGCTAATTTTGATAAAATAAACATATTTACTTGCTAACTAGATTAGAGTTATTTAGATTAGGGTTTAAAATTTTCGATAAGATCATTTTTAATCATTGTTATGGACCAATTAAATCGCTTTCACATTTTCTACAAGGATCCTAGGCCAAACAGTTGATTATATTACTAATTCGGAAGAAATTTAGAGTTTTCAGTTTTACATGTCCGCGTGGCTATTGTTAACAAGAGTAATCAAGAGTTAACTAGATTAGGGTTTAAAATTTTCAATAAGATCATTTTTAATCATTGTTATGCACCAATTAAATCGCTTTCACATTTTCTACAAGGATCCTAGGCCAAACAGTTGATTAGATTACTAATTCGGAAGAAATTTAGAGTTTTCAGTTTTACATGTCCGCGTGGCTATTGTTAACAAGAGTAATCAAGACTTAACTAGATTAGGGTTAATTTAGCGACAATGCGCCACCTGTCGGAATTTTTTAGAACTAATTTTAATAAAAAATTATATATTTGGGTAAATTGAATGATTTTGAGCCAATTATTGCTAATTTTGATGAAATCAACATATTGGCTCGCACGTGGCTGGATCAGACAACACTAGAGTTTCTTATATTCTTCTTTCCTGTCCTTATTGGCGCCTTTCAACCTCTATTTAGTCAACTTTCATTTCTTATTCCTTTACACTCTCACGGAGTGTTCTACCAGAAGCGAACAAAGTTGTGGAAGTCAGATAGGCAGAACAAAGTCTTAACAAAGTACCTCTCGCTCAACTCCGGCTGGCAGTTAAAGAGTGAAGAAATACAACGAGTACGATTGCAATTGAATCGACATTCTATACCAAAGACGAGGAGCTGCCGTATTTCATTTTACTTCTATTCTAAACTTGCAATACGTTTTATATTCATGATTCATTAAGAGATTTCTCGCCTGTTCATTTGTGCAGTCAACGCGGATTTGCAAATTTAATTGTTTCGCTTAAATTGCGGTTGGATTTATCCATTTGATACTTCAATTTTTATTAACAAAAAGGAAATAGAAAAAGAAAAAAAAAACTTTCAATCCGATAATTAAAATATCCGCTTATAAATTTATAAATAAAATTTGAATATAAATATATAGATATATATCTCTTCCAACTGTTTTACATTTACTTAAATCTTTTCTCCGGAGCCCTTGGATCCTTAAAAACGCTTCGCAAATACCTAACGCTGATTTGAGTGCTCACTCAAATAAAACCACCAGTCGCTTGAATATATAAATACTGAATAATATTCTTGTTATTTTTTCGGGATACTGATGATAATCGGTTCCCCTACTAAGCCCATGAATAACAATAAATAAATTTATATTATCCGATCGATTTATTTCTTTTTCTTTATAATAAATGAACTTTTTTTTTTAGTTAAAGAAGAAATGTATAGAAAAAAATTTTTTTCAACTATTTCTTCTTTCAAAAAATTTATTTTTATTAAAATTACTATCAATAATAAAGAAAAAAATTTTTTTTTCGATTCATATTACTTTAAATATTTTTTAGTAAAAATTTAAAAATAATTAACAAACTTGCAGTCACTAGGTGACTTGTAAACTATAAATAAATAAAATTTTGCTTTATTAAATAATGATTTCTGTTAAATTGCACTGTACTTTATTAAATATTGACATTTTTAAAAATATAAGCTCATCCTGATGTTACACATATCAAGAGCTTTCATTTGAGTACCCACATACATTTTCATATATACACATATATATATATAATATATATAAATATATAAAATATATGAAAAATTGATGTGGGTACTCAAATGAAAGGTCTCGATGAGTATAACATCGGAATGAGCTTATATCTTTAAAAATGTCATTAGTTCTCGAGATACAAGGTAATTTCTTAATTATGTAATTTTTCTTATTCTCTTAGTAATATAGATTGATATTTTATAGAAAAAAAAAATTATTTAAAATTAAATAAACAATCAATTGTTCTTATAAGTAATAAAAAATTATTAAAATAAGATAATTAAAAATATTTTCTAATAAATCCAAATATTAATTTGTATTTGATTGATTTTATTAATAAATATTAATTTACAAAATTCAAAGAAACTGTTGTTCATTTCTTAGCCTTCTTGTCTCCCGCAGGAACCTTGGTGACATCATCAGGGTTCTCAGCGGCTTCTTTAACTCTCTTGGCTCTGATTCCGACCAACCTAGCATCAGCGCGAGCTTTACGAAGCGTCACATAAGCTGAGATCTTCTTTTCTTCTTCGGTGATTACACGGGCCTTGGATTTAACAAGCGCTTTCTGACGAATTGGCATTATTTCGCCACGCAGTTGCGTGGCTACCTTGCACTCTTCTTCAGTTGAGTCTCCCTTCTTCGGCTGTTAATCAATTAATCATACATAAGTACATTATTTTTAATTATTTAAATATTTAGAAAAATATTATTCAAATATCGAATAAAAATATTAAACTTAAAAATTATTTTCTATGAAAAATAATTAAATAAATTAAATTAATTTACCTTTTTAGCATTCTTGGGGAAGAGAATCAACTTGGAGCGATATTCCTTCAATCTAGCGACATTAATTTGAAGAGATTCAATTGATTTATTACGCCTGCGATAATCAACAGCTATTCCAATAGTTGGTGCTTCTCTACGGTTTATACCAGCAGCCTTCAACTCTTCTAATGTAAATCCTCGGCCTTGACGTACTTTAGTGTGGTACCTGACAGTTGGGCATCTTACAATTGGTCTCAAGCGCTTGACAGGGCTAGAAAAAAAAAAAATTTGTTGGTCATTTTAAAAACTTGTTATAAAAAAAAATTGACATTTGAAAATTTTTAACTAATAAAAAATTAATTTTAAGCAAATTTATTTGTTATGTAAAATTAAAATATTAATTATTATTATTATTATTATATTGCTTTATTTTAAGTCGCTTTTAATAACAAGGTCATTAGCGACTTCTATATTAAATATATTTAAATTAATTAAATTAAATTACAATAGATTCAATGATTAACTTTTAATTATTATATAACAATTCTTCATTTAAATTTTTTCAAATAATTTGATCAGTTTTAGAAATGAAATTGCACGATGGCATTGATCTTGGTTGTTGAGTATTGTCTTCATGTCATTTGATATTCCTTCATTGGATCTTTCCTGGATTAGTCTTCTACAGTCTATCATGAGATGTTGCACAGTCAGAACCTCTTTACATTTTGGGCATAACTCTAGGTCAATTTTGGTGATCAGATAAATGTGCGTTAGGTTTGTGTGACCTATTCGGAGTCTCGTAATTGCAACCTGGTTTTGTCTGTTAAGTTTTGGTATTGTTTCATATATATTTTCTCGGATATAGTGTAGCATTGTTCTGGTTGAATTTTGCCATTGGAGGTTCCAGTATGCTTGAACTTTAGTTGCAATTGATTTCTTTACATCACGATGTGTAACTTCTATAGTAATATCAATTTCTAAGGCGGTTGCCTCTTTCGCATAACTGTCAGCTAGTTCATTGCCCTTAATAGAATACTATACAAAAGTGATAGACATTTCCAGAGCTGTTATTTCTTATTTATTTGTTATGTAAAATTAAAATATTAAGTAACTACTAATTTTAAAGTTACTAAATTTTTTATAACACTAAAATGAGTTTGTAATTTTTTTTTTTTTAAATCAATAATAAGTAAAAGTAAAAAAAAAAATTAATTTTGACATCTAATTTCTTTACAAGTAATTTTTTAACTAAAAAAATTGATTAAATGTCAATTAATTTAAATATAAAATAAAATTATCAATACCGTGGAGCGACAGCTCTCGCTTTTTTAATCCTGTTATTTTTTCGTCTCAATTTTCTGGCAGGTTGGTTGAACCAGGTTCTGACATTTTGCTCCCACGCTTTGTGGAAATGCCCATTGGGCACCATGTTGTTGCGTTTACCCATCTTCAATCTGCAAAATATAATTTTATAATTAAAAAAGAAATCTTAACAAATTTTATTAAAATTTTTTAATTATTATTTTTATATTTATCAACACATGTGAAACGTAACCTCTAAGTTACTAATTATTATTTTTTCAGTCTATCTTGTCAAAATTACTCTAAAAAATTATTCATGGTTATTAATTTATTTAAATATTATTTTTTTTAATTATTTAAGTTATTATTTTACTAAAAATCTTTTTTTTATTGTTAAAAATTAATAAAATAATTTTATTACATACTTTTGTTAAAGACGGTCGCTGCAGAAAAGACGGAGATGTCCGATCAATTCCGATTGGAGCGCCGAGCGCCGCCATTTTTAAATATGTCAGTAGCGCGCAAAATTTTCAATTTTAATAATACTTTATTTATAAAATTTTGCAGAAAAAAAAGTGTTTTTTTTTTATTTTACATAAATTTGGAAGTATCAAATTATTTTGCAAGTGAGTAATGATATTTTAGTGACAATAAATACAATAAATCATTTGAGGAACTTTTTATCAAATGTCATAAATATTTAAGATAGTTCCTGCAATATCAACAGTGTGCAAAAACATGTAATGTGAAAATTTGAGGTTAAATGTCAACAATAATAAAAATTTTCATCATTTCTATCTATCCAGGTAAATAAAGTGAATAATTAATAATAATAATTTATTAATTACATTGTTTAAAATCAAAGTAACAAGTGTTTTTTAATTTTAGTTAGACATTAGAATTTTTTTTTTAATTAAATTAAACAAAAAAGATTTTTTTTTAATTTAATCTGTAGAAATATTTTTTAATAAAAAAAGTGATTTACAGGTTAATTTAGAATTTATCGGAAACAAATTTTTATTATTCATCTATATATATTTAATTAAAAATAATTTATTGATATTAAAATCAGCTATTTGATAATTTAAAATTATTAAAAAAGACAATGAGTAATTATATTTATGACATTAACTAGATTATTTTTTAATTTTACTCCAAAATATTATTTTTAAAAAACTGTATTTCTAATTTTATGAAAATTTTTCAATGTCAATTTTTTAATAATAATTTATTTATTTAAAAAGTCATCAAATATAGGCTTAATCAATTTAAATTAAATAAAAAATTTTAATTTTCTTATTTATAAAAAATAGTTATTAAATTAAATAAAAGTTTTTATTATTATCAAAAAAAAAAAAAATATAAAATGCAATTTTTTAATAATAATTTTGAATGACATTAAAGTTAGCAGTCACTTGACAATTTTTTAATTTTATTTAACAAAAAATTAGTATTAAAAAATTGAATTTTTAATTAAAATAATAAAAAAATTATTTTCCAGAGTAATTATAACCCAGCAGCAGAAAAACCAATAGGAAGGACCAAAAATGGCGAGCTTAGGAGGTAAAGTAGTACCAAACTTACGAGATAAATTTCGAATAGTATCCAAGGACTCGGTGCACTGGTTCCCTGGTCACATGAGAAAGGGTCTGCGTCAGATGCAGCAAAACTTAAAGAACGTCGACTGCATAATAGAGGTCCACGACGCGCGGGTACCAATTTCGGGCCGTTGCCGAGACTTCAGAACCACTGTCAGCGGATTGAAGCCGCACATCTTAGTCCTGAACAAGAAGGACCTGGCAGACCTGACCAGAGCGGAGGAGTACCGCAAAAATTTAGCTTCGGAGGGGTTCGAGCACGTGATCTTCACCAACTTCAAGGACCAGAAGTGCCAAGGGATGCAGTCGATCCTCCCTCTGGCTATTAAATTAATTGAAAATTCTCCCCGCTATAACAGAGCAGTAAGTCCGGATTTCTCCGCGATGATTATCGGAGTCCCTAATGTGGGGAAATCCTCGCTGATAAACCGGCTGAGGAACAAATATTTGAATAAAAAAAATGCTACTGCTGTTGGAGCGGTCCCGGGAATCACAAGGTCGGTGTTGACTAGGATTAAAATCTCCGAGAAGCCGCCGGTGTTTGTTCTAGACACTCCGGGGATCCTCACGCCTTATGTAAGGGATGTTCTTTCCGGATTAAAATTATCTCTGGTCGGCTGTCTCCAGGACCACTTAGTAGGCCAGGAAATAATCGCGGACTTTCTGCTGTTCTGGCTGAACAAGCAGAAAAAATTCGAGTACGTTAATCAGCTGAAGCTGTCCCAGCCTAATGATAATATCCTCGAAGTCTTGACAGAGATTGCGATGAACTTGAACAGGACCAAGAGGATCAGGAACTTTGATGGCCAGAGGATCATCAGGCCTGACTATATCTTCGCTGCGGAGCATTTTATCAAGACGTTCCGCAATGGAGAGCTGGGCCCTGTTTGTCTTGACGATGATATTGTTTAGAATTAGATTTATAATAATTATTTTTATTTGTATTTTAAATATATGTTAACTCAGCAAGTTGGTGCCTTTCCCTTTTGGTAACTCGATCCCCCCCCCCCTCTACTACTCCTAATACGCTGACTTTCTTTTTAGTCCTACTTTAAGACTACAGTTTGAGTTTGCTGTTCTTGGTCGACAGTTATAATTTATTTTATTTATTTAATTTATTTTTTGATTGTATTTAGTTCCAGCCATGTTCGCAAGGGTCACTTTTTATCCAACGTTAGTCTATAATGTGTTCATGGAGAAAATTAGCTCCAGAAGGTGGTGGGATAGAATTGATGATACTGTCATTCTTGGGGCTTTGCCTTTTCGACATATGACTAAGCAGGTTAATTTTATTTATTTTTACTTGTGAACTTTAAATAATTGAATTTTGTTAAATTGCAGTGTACTTTTTTAAATATTAAGATTTTTTAAGATATAAGCTTATCTTGATGTTATACTCGTCAAGAGCTTTCATTTGAGTACCCACATCAATTTTTCATATATTTATATATACACGGAAAGAACAAGATTATACTGGATATAATCCCCGATTATACTGAGTGAAAAAATTTTCAGATAGTAGCTAGTATAATCCAGATAACAATGAGTATAATCCAGATTACAATGAGTATAATCTGGATTATACTAGCTACTATCTGAAATTTATTTTTTCGCCTCAGATGTCACTGAGTATAATCTGAGATGGTATCCAGTGTCATCTTGTTCTTTCCGTGTATAATATATATAAATATATAAGATATATGAAAAATTGATGTAGGTACTCAAATGAAAGGTCTTGATGAGTGTAACATCAAGATGAGCTTATATCTTTAAAAATCTCAATAGTTCACAAAATATTTATTAAAATACTCTTTACTTTCTTAAATATTAACATTTTTAAAGATATAAGCTCATTTCAATGTTACACTCATCAAGAGCTTTCATTTGAATACCCACATGCATTTTTGATAAGCTCATCCTGATGTTACACTCATCAAGAGCTTTCATTTGAGTACCCACATGCATTTTTGATATATTTTTCATATATACATATATATAATATATACAAATGTATGAAAAGTTGATGTGGGTACTCAAATGAAAGGTCTTGATGAGTGTAACATCAGGATGAGCTTATCCTTTAAATTAAAATACATGATAGTTTTGAAGTTAGTCAAAGGTCGAAACTCGCAAAAAAACGGGCCACGATTCATTATTGGTTAAAATTTAGGCGCGCGCGTAGCGTGCTATTCAAATTTCTAGTACCTTTAAAAATGTCAATATTTCACAAGATACAAGGTCATTTCTTAATTATAATCTTGTTTATGATTTACAATTCTAATTATAAGTATTTAAAATTTGACATTATTAATTATGAATTGTTTAAAAAAATTAAAAATAATAAAAATAGGTATCAAAAATATAAATATAATTTTTACAGCTAGTTGATGAAGAAAAAGTCGTGGCTGTAGTATCAATGAATGAAGACTACGAACTAAAACTTTTTTCAAATTCCGCTGAAGTAAGCATAATTCAATTGTCAGTATAAAATATTTTAATTTTATTTATAAAACAAATTTTTTAAATAATATAATTGTATTTTTAAAAAAGGAGTGGTCAAAAAACGGAGTCCAATTTCTCCAACTATCAACAACAGACATTTTCGAAACACCTTGTCAAGAAAAATTAGAAAAAGGAGTAAATTTTATAAACAAATTCAGAGTCGATGAAAAAAATCCTGGAACAGTCTACGTTCATTGCAAAGCTGGACGAACACGTAGCGCGACACTTGTCGGGTGTTATTTAATGAAGGTAATTTTAATTTAAAAATTTTATAATTAAAATAATTGTATAATTACTAAAGAAAATTACCAGAGACACGGATGGACTCCAAGTGAAGCCGTGGAATTTATGAGGAGCAAACGTAGCCACATACTCCTGCACACTGCCCAGTGGAACGCGCTGAAAACTTTCCACAGTAGAATAAAAAATTAAAATAAATCTTTAGTTAATTTTAAATTAATTATTAATTATTCTTCTTGATTTTTAATTTTTTAAAATACACAGCTGCGAATTTTTCCGCTTCAGCGGCTGCTTCTTCGGTCTGGCTTTCTATTTTTTCTTTAGAAGTTCTTACAATTTTAATGTGAGAGGTACTTAGAGGGTCCTCGTCTCCAAAAGTGCCTAATTCTACAGGCAGGACTTTATTTATCGACTCCATCCATAGCTTAGCGTTGAAATAAGCCGACTGGTACTCCTAAAAAAATTTTTTTAATTAAATTTAAGACAATAAATAAATAATTAAATTAATTTTATTAATTTTAAGTACCTTAGGCACAAAACAGCGAGCTCGGATTTTCTTTTTAGACATCACAATTAAAAACATCGGCAAGTGGTCGCAGTAATTGTACGCCAGTTGAAGAGGAACGCTTTCGGGTTCAATGTCGTTGGACTTCATGCAGTGGACTATGAAGCAGTCGCTTTTTTCTACCGCTCTTTCGATTTCAGACTTCATAAAGTCGACTATTATTTCTTTTTTGTCGTTTTTGCCTTTTACATCGACCAGGTAGTTTAAGTTTGTTTTGGATTTTGCGTCTTTGGCTTTGGGACCAGTTACTGCTTTTAATAGGTACTCGCTGGATGATTTGGGGTAGACTTCGGTGATACAGAAATTTTTTAAGACACCTGTGTTATGTACATGAGTTCCACAGCAAGCTTCTCTGTTATGAAATAAATCATTATTATTTTTATGACAATTTTAAAAATAATTACTAGCAATTTTTGCTTTATTAAATAATGACTTTTGTTAAATTGCACTGTACTTTCTTAAATATTGACATTTTTAAAGATATAAGCTCATTACGATGTTCCGCTCTTCAAGGGCTTTCATTTGAATACCCACATGCATTTTTGATATATTTTTCATATATAATATATATAAATATATAAAATATATGAAAAATTAATGTGGGTACTCAAATAAAAGGTCTTAATGAGTATAACATCAGGATGAGCTTATATCTTAAGAAATGCCAATAATTAAGAAATGACCTTGTATCTTATGAACTATTGACATTTTTAAAGATATAAGCTCATTCTGATGTTACACTCATTTAGACCTTTCATTTGAATACCCACATGTATTTTTGATATATTTTTCATATATACATATATATAATATATATAAATATATGAAATATATGAAAAGTTGATGTGGGTACTCAAATGAAAGGTCTTAATGAGTATAATATCAAGATGAGCTTATATCTTTAAAAATGTTAATGGTTCACGAGATACAAGGTCATTTCTTAATAATCTATCTGGAGATAGAGCATTTTACAGAAAATACTCCAAAAAAATTTTTTTTATAAAATTAATCCAATGATGATTATTATTATTATTAAAAAATACTAAACTTTACCTTGACTTTAATTCACCATCAATATCAACAACTCTTAATCCAGTATCTGGATAAACTTCTCCAGGAATTAAAGTCAAATTTTTCTGATTCATCAACTCCAAAGAACTAATCTCCTCGGTTTTGACATCTACATTTTGATTAATACACTTATTCACCAACGAGTCCAGCTCTTGGCAGTGCTGAGGTGAGAATTTTTTTCCAAATGTGCTGAACCTGAAGATCAAGTCCAGCGGAGTTACGACGCTGATTCTTTGAGCAACAGCAGGGAATATCTTCCTGAGCCCAGCGTTCAACAAATGTGTAGCAGTGTGGTGCATCATTAAATTAGTACGACGTTCGCTGTCAATCATAGCAGTTACTTTTTCATTATTAATCTCAACTTCTACAGCAGAATCAAAGCTTCCATAGTGTAGCACGTAACCTTCGGACTTTTCAACAACTGCTACTTTAAATAGACCGTTTTTTAATTTTATAGTTCCTTGGTCTGATAATTGACCACCTTCACTAGCGTAAAATGGAGTTTGGTCTAATATTAATGCAATTTCTGAATTATTTAATTGATTTTCATTCAATTTTATCGATTTAGTCTCTAATTCACCTGAAAATAATTTTTGTGAATTATAAATAAATAAATAAAATTTTGCTTTATTAAATAATTAATAGATAATTTTTAATAAAATTAATTTATAAATAAATTTTGATAAAATTAATTTTAAAAAACTTACCATCAATAACAACACCAATAATTGAACACTCCAAAGGACTAAACGTATATTTATCCTCAAAATTATACTGATATTTAAACGAATCATCAGTTTGAGGTAAAACTTTTAATTGCTCCAGAGTTTTTTTGGCAACAACTCTTCTATTAGTCTTTTTACCAACTCTAGACCTTATCCTGACCATCTCCATCTCCTCAAAAAATCCCTCTTCATCAACCTCGATCCCTTCAACCTCCGCGAGCTCTTTCAGAGCTTCCAAATCCAGACCATGAGAGTCATAAATTCTAAAAGCTTCTTTTCCACTTAGCGCTACAAAATTACTGGTTTTACTTTTTAATTTCATCAATAGAGTATATGCTTTGATTATTCCTGGAGCATAGGGATCACTGATCGTTGCTAGTCTTGGGTTCATTTTTAGGAGAGTTTGCCAAGCTTCTCCTGTGGATTTTCGCTGTGATATTAGAAGCTCTTTTTCATAATTTGTTATTACTTGGATCTAAAATAAAAAAAAAAGGGTAAGTAAAATTTAAAAAATTTTTAATTACAAAAATAAAAATGATTTATTTATTAAAATTATTTTATCTAAGAAAAATCATATGATAATAACAATAATAAAAACCAGCAACCTTGCAGTCACTACGTGACTGCTTTGAATTTGTGAACTATAAATAAATAAAACTTTGTTTTATTAAATAATGAATTTTATTAAATTGCACTGTACTTCCTTAAATATTGACATTTTTTAAAATATAAGCTTATCCCGATGTGCTTACACTCATTAAGAGCTTCCATTTGAATACCCACATGCATTTTTGATATATTTTTCATATATACATATATATAATATATATAAAATATATGAAAAATTGATATGGGTACTCAAATGAAAGGTCTTGACTAGTGTAACATCAGGATTAGCTTATATCTTTAAAAATATCAATAGTTCACAAGATATTTGTTAAATTACATTGTACCCCCTTAACTGTTGATATTTTTGAAGATATAAGCTCATTCTGATGTTACACTCATTTAGACCTTTCATTTGAATACCCACATGTATTTTTCATATATTTTTCATATTTACATATATATAACATACATAAAAATATATAAAATATATGAAAAATTGATGTGGGTACTCAAATAAAAGCTCTTGATGAGTATAACATCAGAATGAGCTTATATCTTTAAAAACGTCAATTATTAAAAAATTACAGTGCAAAATTTTCCTACCTTTTTTAAATTATCTCGAATTTCCGGATAAACATCTCCCAGACTCTCAGCAACATGATTAGTCAACTCCGTCAGCAAATCCTCATTCCTAAAAGCGTCAATAGCAATACTAGTAGCTCTCCTAAGAACTCTCCTAAGCTTCTGATTCTTATCAGGAATAATTCCATCAGCCAGCGCAACAGTGACCATGCGAGCGTGGTCAGCCAGAATTCTATAGCAAGTATCCAAGCTAGCTTCATTACAATCTCCAAAAGTTCCAGAATACTCCGGAGCTCCGGAACTCTTGTGAATAGCTTGGAACAGTGGCTGGAACAGGTCAGTGTCATAATTCGAGTTCTTGTTCTGCAAAAGAGCCACCAGGCGCTCCAATCCCATTCCAGTATCCACAAACTGCCTCTTTAAAGGAACTACAGCGCCATCTGGCAGCCTTTGGTGGTCTATGAACACAATGTTCCACAGTTCCGTAAGATTGTTCCCGGAACCGACAGAGTCATAGTGAATTTCTGTGCAAGGACCACAAGGTCCGGTTAAATTCATCTCCCAGAGATTGTCCTTGGCTCCACAACCCCTGATTTTGTCATCAGGCACTCCGATGTTCCGCCAGATGTCTCTGGTCTCAAAATCAGGCGCCATCTGGAGTTCCTGGTCGCCTGCGAAGTAAGTTACGGAGAGGTTCCTCTTGTTGATGCCGTAGAGCTCGGTTAAGGCTCTCCACGCGTACCTGCAGGCTTCTTCCTTGCCGTAGGACCCGAAGGACCAGTTACCCAGCATCTCGAAGAACGTGTGGTGGTAAGTGTCCAGTCCTACGTCTTTTAGGTCGTTGTGCTTGCCTCCTACTCTGATGCACTTCTGACAATTTGCTACTCTTGGAAATGGAGCCTGTTCCTTTCCTAGGAAGATTCCTTTGAACTGGTTCATTCCTGCGTTTATAAAGGCGACTGATGAGTCACACCATGGTATCACTGAGCTAGATGAAATTATTTTGTGATCTAGCTCTGTGCTGAAGTAATCCAGGAATTCCTTCCGGATTATTTTTCCGCTTTTGTACATTTTTTACAAGATTTATTTTTATTTTTTCTGAATTAAAAAATTATAATTGGCTTCAGGCTTTGACAGACATTTTTTGGTATAATTATTCAAATCTGAAAAATAAATATTTAATATTAAAAATTTAAAGACACTTGACAATTATTTTTGATTTTTGTTTAAAAAAAAAAAAAAAACTAGGTCTAGAAAAATATTTTTAAAAAATTGCATTTGTAAGTTTTTAAAAATGAAATTTTTTAAATTAATTTTTTTTGCTATTATTTATTTAGTAAAATATTATTAAATTACTAGATTTTAATTTCAGTATCATATTTTCTTAATAATAAAAAAATTTGTAAAAAAAACAATTCCACATGCAGAAAATTTAAAAAACAATAGATGCAATTTTTTAGAATATTTTTTTAGCTTTCATTTAATTAATAAAAAAAATTGAAAAATTTACAGATTTAGATATTTTTTTTTCTACAAAATTAATTTTTAAAAAATTCCATGCATAGTTTTTTTTACAAAATATACAAATAAAGAAGTTTTTTTTTTATTATTGATAAGATAAAAATTTTTAGAATTTTATAAATTTAAACATAAATTGTTATATGATAACTTTTTAAATAAAATTATTATTACTTACATTTGTTTTTAAACTTAGAAAATTAATTAAAAAACAACTTTTTACTCACATTGCGTTTTACGTAAACTATATAAATATAAATGTACTGTAGGCTTTTCAAAATGGCGGAGTCACATGGCAAAATAAAAAGTAAACAATAATAATAAAAAACGACCGGTTAAATTGTATTCGAACTTTAAAATTTAATAAAAAACAATTAATTGTTAATATAATTAATTTTTTATTAATAAATAAGTATCTAAATAATTAAAATTGTTTTTTCTATAAAGCAAATTCTATTTAAATATTTTTTTTTGGAGTTAGATTGTGTCACTGCTCACTTTACAAACGTCAATTTTTTATAATTGAATTAAAGTATTTTATTGTAAGTAATAATTTATTTTTTTAATTAATAGATATTTTATTATTAAATTTAATTATTAGATATTTCACAACAATCATTTGATTCTAATCTTTATTATCACTACCTAGACGGCGCCACATGTCAGTTGGATTTTTCATCTAAAAAACACATGGCGAGCATGTCTTAAAAGTAAAAGTAAACAAAGATGAAGTACAGATTAACAAATTTAAAACTATCTAAAAAATTAAATCAACCTTTTATTAACAATGTTCGTCATGCATCAGCGAGTCTTGGACTTTGGGTGAGTAAAATTTTAAAAATACAATAATGTAATTTAAGATTTATTTAATGTCATAAAATTTTGCACTTGCATCATGTTACATGACAACTTTAGAATTTGTGATTAATATTAACAATAATAAATTAATTTTGTATGAAAATTAATTTAATCATTTTAATTTTATTTTAATTAAAAATAAAAAAAAAAAAAAAACAAATCAACTCTATTAAATTAACAAATCTAATTTTTTAATTATAAATTTTAAGAAAATTGGTTTTTTAAGAGTATTTAATTCAAATAAAATTGCAAGTGTCAAATAATTAGTTCAGTGTCAATAATTAGGTCTTTTACCTTAATTGACATTAAAAAAATTTGTAACACTAGTTAGCCGAAGTTTTTAATTTTTAGATTTGTTTTAATAATTAAATTAAAACAAAAAAACATTTTTTAAAAATTGCACTTACAGTTTTTAATGTTTTTTACAAATGATATTTTTTTTTTTTTTAATATTTTGTAATCATTTTTTGACACTGAAGTAAGAAAACGTCTAAAAATTTTTAATTTTTTTTATAAATTAAATTACAACTAAAAAAATATTTCTAAAAAATTGCACTTATAATTTATCAAGTTTTTTACATGTGACAATTTTTTTTTAATTGTTTAATTGAAAATTTTTTAATAAAAAATTTCTAAATATCAGCTAACTTAATTTTCATTTTTTTTTTTTTAATTATAATAGATAAATTAAAAAAAAAATTTACAATTTTAATAAATAATTTAAAAATTCCAGGAGTCCAACATGACAAATGAAATCCGTCATAAAATAGAAGCCCACTGGAAAGACAAAATCTTATCCGAAAAATCAGAACCCAGCACTGGAGAGAAATATTATGTCTTATCAATGTTTCCCTACCCGTCTGGCTCCTTGCACATGGGCCACGTGCGAGTGTACGCCATCTCCGACGCAGTATCTAGATTCCACCGTTTAAAAGGCCGGGACGTGATCCACCCGATGGGCTGGGACGCGTTTGGCCTGCCAGCGGAGAACGCGGCTCTGGAGCGAAAAATTGACCCACAAGAGTGGACCGAGAGCAACATCTCCAACATGAAGGCCCAGTTGAAGACTCTGGGCTGCGACTTCGACTGGGACTGCGAGCTGGCGACCTGCCACCCGGAGTACTACCGCTGGACCCAGGAGTTGTTCCTCAAATTATTCGACCGCGGGCTGGCTTACCAGAAGCAGTCATTTGTAAACTGGGACCCTGTTGATGAGACAGTGCTCGCTGATGAGCAGGTGGATCAGAATGGAAACTCCTGGAGATCCGGAGCTAAGGTTCAGAAGAAACTTCTAAAGCAGTGGTTCATTCGCACGACAGCCTTTGCCAAGTTTTTGATGAGTGGGCTTGATGATCCGATGCTTAAAGAGTGGCGGGATATTATCAAAATTCAGAAACACTGGATTGGAGAGTGCACTGGCACTTCCTTGGACTTTAAACTAATTACTGACCTACCTGGCAAGCCAGAGAGTTTTAATGTCTGGACAGACAGGCCGGAGTTTATTGACCAAGCTAAATTTGTTGCGGTTTCTAAAGACAATTTTTTGGCGAAAGCGAAAATTAAGAATTTTGATGATCAAGATTTAGAAACTGTGTTTTTAGACGCTACGGTTGTTAATCCGTTTAATAATGAGGAACTTCCGGTTTATTTTACGAGAAATTTTGAATTTTCGCAGCTTAGGGATAATCGATTAGGAATTCCAGGTGATTTATTATTATTATAGTCCTTCAGAAAGTTTAATCTATATTAAGCGAAGTTTCTAGATACATAATTAAGAAATGAGCTTGTATCTTGAGAACTATTGACATTTTTAAGGATATAAGCTCATCTTAATGTTACATTTATCAAGAGCTTTCATTTGAATACCCACATCAATTTTTCATATATTTTATATATTTATATATATGTATATATGAAAAATATATCAAAAATGCTTGTGGGTACTCAAATGAAAGCTCTTGACGAGTATAACATCAAGATGAGCTTATATCTTAAAAAACATCAATAGTTATATAATTACAGTGCAATTCAACAAAAGTCATTATTTAATAAAATTTGAACTTGAAAAAAAAATAAATTCTATAATTTGTATCAATATATTAATTATATATTTTTTTTTTAGGTTGTTCCGAAGAAGATGCAGCTTTTTGCATCAACAACGGCATCAATTTTACCAAATTAGAAGAACTAACCCCCGAAGAGCTCCAACAAAAGCGTCAACAGGCAATGCAAAAAGCTCGAGAGTGGAAAATCGGAGGCTATGAGGTCAGTCCAACATTAAGAGACTGGTTGATCTCACGACAAAGATACTGGGGCACACCAATTCCAATAATCCACTGCAAATCCTGTGGAACTGTTCCAGTTCCACGAGAACAGTTACCCGTAACATTACCAAAGAAACTGACCTCAGACAAGGGGATTCCCAATTTGCGGCAAGCTGTTGACTGGCTGAAGACTTCCTGTCCAAAATGTGGAACCGAAGCGTTCAGAGAAGCGGATACTATGGACACTTTTGTTGATAGTTCTTGGTACTTTATGAGATACATTGACGTAAAAAATACCTCCGAGATGTTTTCGAAGGAAAAAGCGAAAAAGTTTTTGCCGGTGGACTTGTACATTGGCGGAAAAGAACACGCAGCGCTGCATTTGTACTACGCGAGGTTCGTTAATCATTTTTTGCACTCAGAAGGTTTATTGCCGACGAGGGAGCCGTTCAAGCAGCTGCTGGTCCAGGGGATGGTCATGGGCAAGAGTTTCAGGGTCAAGGGCAGCGGAAAGTATCTCAAGAGCGAGCAGGTTGAAAAGGTGGGCAAAAATTTTGTTGAGAAAGAAACAAAGTTACCTGTTGTGGTCACTTGGGAGAAGATGTCCAAGTCCAAGTACAATGGGGTTGATCCTATGGAGATGTTTAGGGAGTATGGCGCTGATACTACCAGGCTGATTATGCTCGCGGATGTTGCTCCTACTTCTAGTAGAAATTGGTCGGATGCAAGTAAATATTTTTATTTATTTATAAATTAGCCTAATAATGGTCTCTCTAGATACATAATTAAGAAATTACCTTGTATCTTGTGAAATATTGAGATTTTTTAAGATATAAGCTCATCCTGATGTTACACTCATCGAGACCTTTCATTTGAGTACCCACATCGATTTCTCATATATTTTTGATATATACATATATATAATATATATAAATATATGAAAAATTGATGTGGGTACTCAAATGAAAGCTCTTGATGAGTATAACATCGGAATGAGCTTATATCTTAAAAAATGTCAATAATTAAGAAACTACAGTGCAATTTAACAAAAGTCATTCATTTAATAAAGCAAAATATTTTTCAATATAAAAAAATTTAATTATTGGTCATTTTTATTATATTTTATTTTTAATAAAATTTATTGGGTCCGAAAAAAAATGAATTTTCTTATTCATCACTTATTTAAACCAATTTTCTTGTTTTTTTTTTTTTTAAATTTATTATTTAAATTATTAAAGATTAATTTTATCTCTCTCTCTCTCTCTCTCTAGCGTTCCAAGGAATTTTCAATTGGCAGCAGAGACTATGGCTAACGATTCGACAATTTTTAAAACGTCGCGAGAATATATCGCTGGAAGAAGTCGCAAACACCCCAACGAAAGAAGAATTTATAAAAGACGACGCGTATCTCTGCAACAGCAGGAACTATTACGTAAAAGGCGTGACATTTAACATAATAGGATCCCAGCAACTGAGTGTCGCTATTTCCAAAATGCAAGGACTGACCAACAGCATCAGGAAAGTGTCTCTCAACTGCCTGACTCACAGTCCTGAGTACGAAAAAACTCTGGGTACGCAAATAATAATGCTGGCGCCCATCGCTCCAAGGTTCGCTTCAGAATTGTGGAGCGGATTTTGCTCAGCTAAGTATTTCTTGGCAGAAGATTTTTTTATGAGAGACAAAGACGTGCTTCAGCAAAAATGGCCGGTTGTTGATAGCGACTTTGAGCTGGATCTTGATGTTGTTGTAAGTTCTTTACTACAACTGTAATTAATATTAATTATTTAATAAAAAATTAATTAAATTATTTATAATATAAACTAGTATACGTTGCGCGCGCAAGCGCGCGTGTGATTGTTGGTATGGAATTATCTATATTTTCATGCTTATGATATATTTGACCAATCACGTTGCGAATAGTTTGCTCTTACATGATATATTTTCATATTTTTCATCTAAATTATAAGAGTGGATTAATTAATTGCAGGTTAATGGAATGCAAGTAGATCTCCTGAAGATAAAAAAATCTATTTTAGACCAACTAACAGCAGAAGCTGCTGCAGATTTAGCTCTTCAATCACCAGGAGCTAAGAAACACATTAAAAACAGAGAAATTTTGGGGTTCAAGTATTACTACGAGCAAAATTGTGATGGAAAAGTTTCATTTAAAGTGGCTATTAAACCCGCTAGTGTTAAAGTTGAAACTAGTTTGTAAATATTAAACTCTTGATAATTTTTATTTAAAAAATAAAATTATTTTTTAAAAATATAATTAAATTTAAAATAAAATTATTTAATAAATTTAATTAGTTAATTAAAATAAAATTAGTTTTTAAAATAAATTTTTTTTGCTACAATTTATTAAAATGTATCAAATGTCTTTTTTTTTTGAAAAATAGGTATAAAAAAAAATGTAATTTTTTAACAAGTTTTATTTATTTTTAATTTCATAACAAAGTTTATCATAAAAAATTTTTGTTTGAACTTCTGAAAATTTTTTATCTTTTGATAAAAATACGCGAAAAATTTTAATTACAAAGATAATATTTTATTTAATAATTATTAATTATGCTTAATGTTAATATAAATTACTTCATGATAAGCGATAATAAAATATTCATATATATATATATATATATATATTAACATTAATTAGTTTTTAATTTATCGGATCTTTGGAGCTTTGTATGACAGATAAATTCCAGAAACTTCTTGGCTAAAAACAAAATTTCAATAATTAATATAATATAATACTTAACAATTTATCAAGATATAAAAAAAATAGCAGACATTTGATAGGAGAATTTTAAATATAAAATTTTTTCATAATATTTTAGTTATTATAAAAAGTAAAAAAATTTACAAATGTGTCTTATTAATTTTAGTGTGATAAAAAAAAAAAAAAATGTATACCCAATATCGCTGTAAGCATCCATAAATCCATTATGTCTTACTTTTCGGAGCAGATTAATATATTCTGTCGGAAGTCCACGATCTAATGCTCCTTTTACAATAATTTTCCTAAATAAATTTATTAATTAATAGATTTTTATTAAAAATCAATAAAATACTAAAAATTTACTTACAAGTAAGTCTGAGAAGGTCTCCTACCATCAGGAAGTTCCCTAAGCTTAGCATAAGAATTAGGAACCTTGATCTGCTGATAAACCCGACAATTATACGTGGCACCGCTGTGAGTAATTACATCGACTTGAAAGGCGTTGTAACCAGCCTCCTGCTGATCCAAGTTCTTAATGTCAGCAACATCCAGCTCCCAAACAGCTCCCCAGACGTGGAAGCCGGGAGTTTCTACAATTGTAGCTGGAGCTCCGTTCCATAGGTTTGACCAGCCGATAAAATCCAAGCGGTAATTCTGAAAATTGGTTATTATTAATGAAAAATTAATTATTAAAAAATATCAGATGATTTTTTAATTATAATTTTTTATTTTTAAAATTTGCATTTTAAAAATTTACACTTGTAATTTTTTAATTAAAATTAATTTAATTATTTTTTTAACAAATAAATTATGGCAAAAAAAATTGACTTGTAGAAATATAAAAAAAATAAAAAAATGCAATCTTTTAAAAATGTCATATTTTTAAACATTATTTTTTAGAACAAATTTTTATATCATATTTTTTTTTTTAATAATTTAATTGTAATATCTGTCACTTTTAGTGTAAAAAAATAAAAAGACTTACCTCCAATCGGGCAACACTGTATAACTTAGCACTAGGGTTGTTGATTCTAATCCTTGATGTCAACAAATTACTTCCATACGCAAAATACAATACTTGGTTGCTCATTTTAAAAATAATTATTTTACAGTTGACTTAATTTCAAAATTTATATAACAAAAAACTAAAAAATAACCTAATTTTTTTAATAAACTCACTTATTTTAAATTATACTATTTTGCAAAAATAATATCCAAAGCTATTTTTGAATTAAAACAAAAAAATTAAACGCTATGATAATTTATTGCAATAATTAACTAACAGAGAAACAATGCGGAAAAAAAACTAAGCCGAACGCTCTACAACATTCTACAACTTACTAGGTGATTATAAAGCAGCTACCTAATCATGTACGAAATTCTTGACAAGATAAGAATTTACTATAAATAAATAGTTTAACGTTTTTTGTGGGGTAAGGAAAAAAATTATATTCAACGTTTATATAATTTAAATGAATTACTCTTCAAGGTAGACAACAACTGTAATAATGAATAGAGTTAATTATAGTGATGAATAATTTTTATTTATTAGAACAATTATTTTTTGTTTTAAAACAAAATTTTTAAGAGTGAATTAAATTTTTTATAATATAATTTAATTTAAAAATTTTAATTTTTTTCTGCTAATTTTAAAGTATTAATTTAATTAATTTTTATTTATTAAATTTAATTAATTTTAATTTTATATTTTAAAATTTTAAATATTTTCCAATTAACAATCCATTTATTAAATCGATAAAATAATCAATATAATTATTATAGAGCCAAAAGTTCGATTGTTACAAATCACAGACATTCAATCTGAAAATAATTAAATTATTTAAAAATTTTAATAATTTTTTTTTTTAAATTAAAAACTTACCCTTTAGGCGTATGAGTACCTTCAGGATTAAATTTAATACTTTCTAAAAATTTAATATATTCTTCAGGTAATTTTTTTTGCTTCGCGCCTTTTATTATTACTTTTCTGTTCAAATAAATAATTTATATAATTAAACTTATAATTTTTATAAAGAAAAATATTTTTAAAAGTTTTTACAATTTTTTATCAAAAATATTTTTAATAATAAAAAAATTGTATTATAAAAGCTTACATATAAGCCATAGATGGCAAACGATTATCCGGAAGCTGATCAAGCTCAACAATTTCTTCAGGATCTAAACTCTGCTTGTAAGTGCGACACTCAAAAGTTTCCCCTTCGGGTGTTGTGACACTAACATTAAAAGCTTTGTATTTTCCAGTATGAACACCTTCTTGGCGATCTAGGTTCGATATTTCGCTGGCGGGTAGTTCCCAGATCACGCCCCAGACGTGACAACCTGGAAGTTCAACTATTGTTCCCACAGAACCGCTCCATACTTTAGAATTTCCCACAAAGTCAATTCTATAGTCCTTAAAAGTGAGTAATTTAATAAAATGACAATTTTTTGTGATAAAAACTAGTCTAAAAAATTTTTAGTAGTTTATCGAATCCGGCCTTTGCTTACCGAAGCATCGGGACCGGGTTCGAGCCCAGCGTACACCAAAATGAATATTTTTAATATTTAATTTTTATTGGAATTTTTTTTTGATAGTTTAATTGTTAGAATAATTTATTTTCTTACCTCCAAGCGCGCAATGTCAAAAAAAGTCGCGTTAGGATTGGCGATATGCAACCGAGATTCAAGCAAATTGCTTCCATACGCAAAGTAAAGTAAAGTGCCGGCCATTATGGTCGAGTTCATACTGACAATATAATAAAATGCAATATTAATACATAAATAAAAAGTTATCTTGAATAGAACGGTCACGATAGCTTGCAATCGACTGTTTACTCAGTACCGCTGAAAAGAAATCACTTACTAGTATTTTAAATTATAATAGAACAAACAACTTGTTTCCTTATGTAATCTTTTTCAGTAATTATTATTATTATTATTATTATTGAAGTTTAATTAGAATAATTAAAATTGAGTAGAAGTAATATTAGATAATGTAAATAGTTAGGTTTTATACAATTATAAGTTAGTAAATTTGTTATCAGTTTATTCTTTGTTTTAGGTCATTATCTTCGGAAAAATTTCTCAGCATTTTACACTAATTTTTTTTTACCCCTATAAAAAAAATTTTTTCAAAATTTTTTACTAAAAAAAAAAAGATTTTTTTTTTCAATTCATTTTATCAAGATGTTTTTTTTTAATTTTTGTTTTTAAGTGTACTTTAAAAAAAAAATAGTAAATTTTCAAATTTAACAAATTAAAGTTTGAAAAATAATAAAATTAAAAATTTTTTTGACTATAGTAATTTTTATATAGAGTATAACTATAGTTTATACTGTGGAAAACTATTGCTGCAAGTCACACAGTTTTCAGGTAGCGTAAACACCCTATGGTTCATTTGGTAAACAAGGTAAGATTATTTTTGACTTTACAATATACTTAAAATACAAAAATATTAATCATACTATCAACATTATATTAAACTAATAAAACTTGAATGTTTAATTAGGTATAGTTAAATTTGTAAATACAAATCTAACGAAAAATTCAAAACGGGCCACGTCGAATATTAAATACAACGTATATAAAATTAATATAAAATTAATTAATGATCTGAATTTATTATTAGTAAAAAAATGGAGCCATCAACATATCTACCGTGGATGAAAGTTTAATTTTATACCAAGCCATAAAAGAAAGTAGGATCAGAAATATAAAATTTTTATTAAAATACCGGGCTAAAAAGTCACTATTTTTAGCGCGGAGGTCTAGAGCACTGAAAAAAAGTACCAAAAGGAAAAAAAGAAACAAATATCGTGCAATAATGAACGACCCTGTCCTAACAACTGGCCCACTAGCAGGCTACACCGCGTTGCATTTAGCGTGTATGGAAAATAGAGCAAACTTAGTTGAGTTTTTAGTCAAACATTGTAAAGCTGACGTGAATGTTGTCGCAGATGACGGAACTCAGCCGATACATCTAGTGTGTCTTTTTGACCGGTCTGAAGATTCTGATTACGTACTTATTAAAAAAATGAACATTTTACTGTTACTGGAAGCTAATGCGAATATCAACGCGGAAATTAGCCGAGAAATGTTTGTCAAGCATGTTAAAGGCCAGGACTGGTGTCCCGATTTCGGGGACAAAATTTCGCTGATAACGTTCGCTATTATCTACCAAAATAATTTTCTAACGGAATACTTGTCAGGTCAGGCGGATTTAAGTGATTTAAGTGTGTGCGTACAATAAGTAGGACGAACAAAACATTATATACCTATGTACGCCATTGAAAGGGACTATTGTGACATTGCATCGTTTATGATTCGCTTTGATGATCCTGATTTAGTGAATCATCGCGATGATGATGGAGTGCTGGTGACTCATTATATTCTAGATCCGAAGAAATTTGGAGGTTATAGGTACGATTCAAAAGAAAACGGGCATGTTAGAGGGATGGACCGAGGCTTTGCTATAATGTATTTTTTGGAAGCCAGGGCTGACAAGTACGCGTTAATTAACAATGATCCTTCGAGATTTTTGGTAAACATGGCGGCTTATATAAGTTGCAGTAATATGTTGTGGTATTTGTTGCCTGAGTACACTTACATGCCTTTGTCCAAGGCTTTGTATTACACCACACTGCCAGTTGATGAAAATTCGGAGAATTATTTGTGCATTAATGACGTACATGTTGGCCATCAAAATACAGAGCAGTTCAGGGAAATGCTTCGGCAACAAAGAAAAGATTGTACACAATTAATTCTTCAGGATTTGATCAACAGAGAAGGACTTTTAGGCTGCCTGTTCCAAAAGATGAAATTAAGTTAATGGACGAATTAGTTTAATTCTTTCTGATAAAGATGTTAGGACGTTTGTAAATAATTATCAAAGTGATTTTATTGATGGGAGGTTAAAAAGAGATTGTATTGAACTCAGTGATAAAATTATGAGCTTGTATGATTTTTTGGTTCAAGCTTTTGATGATAAAAAATTGAGATTATTGATTATAGGGATGAGGACTTGATGGAGAGGTATAATTATTTTTTGGGTGGGTATCGAGATACTAATTATTGTTATTTTAAGTGTATGATCTCCAAAAGAATTAAATTCTTTCGGAGACAATCAGAGCTTTTGAAAAAATTAGAGAAAGTATTCAAACTTAGAGAAGCTGTACCGCTCCCATACGAGTTGGTTTTATATATTGTTGAGTTTCTGAATAATGATGATTTGGAAAATTTTATTAATGCGTTTGGAGATATATGATAGTGTTTTTTATTTAGTTTATTTTAGAGTAATTTATTTTGTTCAAAGTGATTTGTAATTTATTGTAAAGTTTATGTATTTTTAAATATAAATAAATATTTATGTACTGTTAAATATATTATTTTTAAATTATTTAATATTTAATTTGGAACTCTTAAAAATTTCTTATTTTAATTCGACCTTCATAAATTTAATTTCCAATGTTTCTCATAAGAAACATATAAAGTAGGACTTATGGAATTAATAAATAAATTCATAGTATTTATTTTTAAATTTATTTATTATTAATGAAAAATCTCCAACATTTCCAGCACTTCTTATTAATATTTTATTAATTTAAATTGATTAATCCATACGGGTTTTGATGGTGCGCGTTGTAACACGGTCTTTTTCGCTGTAAAAAAAAAAATTTATTGATAAATTTTTGCTCTTAATCTATATTATTAAGAGAATAAGAAAAATTTTGTCTCCAAGATAGTCATATGATAAAATTAGTGTCTTTTCAAGGTTTCATATCATTTATTATGATAAGTATTTAGGCTTCATTCGAAAATCCTCTATCTTTAGATACATAATTGAGAAATGACCTTGTATCTTGTGAAATATTGACATTTTTTAAGATATAAGCTCATCCCGACGTTACATTCATCAAGACCTTCCATTTGAGTACCAACATAAATTTTTCATATATTTATATATATATATATATATATGAAAAATATATCAAAAGTGCATGTGGGTATTCAAATGAAAGCTCTTGATGAGTGTAACATCAAGATGAGCTTATATCTTTAAAAATGTCAATATTTAAGAAAGTACAGGGCAATTTAACAATAGTTATTTTTTAATTTTTAATGAAAATAACTTACATAATATGTACGATAGCACCCCAACCAGAAATAGCATCACGGTCACAAGCGTTGACCAGAGCCTGGCTAATGGTCTCAAACAAATCCTCCGGTTCAAGATCCGGCTCGTAGACGGTCTCGCACATACCGTATAATTGTTCCTCGCAAGTGCCTCCTACGACAAAATCTTCCGGCTCATTGAGACAGCCAATCAAGTCCATGTTGCAGATGTACGGCTCGAAGGTTTCCGGGTCCAATCCGACGATGATCGGCTCCACGAAGTAAGATCCAAATCGCTTTTCGTACAAGAGGTTGGACACCACGGACGCGAAAGTCTTCGGGTGCATGCGGCGGTTCTCTTTCAACTCGTAAAGGTTTAGCCGGAATCTCAGGCGCTCCTTTACTGTCTGGACGTCGGTTGCCAGACCGGGGATTCCTACGTACATGTGAGGGCCCATTTCGAAAATTTTTTCAAAGTCGCACGTGATGGTTTGAGCTTGGATACCAAATCTACGGTCAGCTGCTATCGCAACGCAGTTTTTGCCCTTCATGGCTATTATTGCGCCTCCATTGTATGCCAAGATACTCTGAAAATTTTTAAAATTAATTATTAATCAATTAAAGTAGGCATTTAATTATTTTTTTAATTAATAACTTATTTATTTTTATTATTAATTTTTAAAAATAGTTTTTTATTAAAAAATTTCAAAATAATAAATTTTATTATTTAATTTTAAAATAAAAATTTGTAATATTTAAATAAAAAACATTTTTAATGAAAATTTAATTATTTTACATCTTAAAATTTTTTTTTAATCGAAAAAATTATTATAAAAAAGTTAAAAGAAAAAATTTTATAGAAATCTTGTAGAAATTTTGAAAAATTATTCGTGCAATTTTTTTTTAAGTATATTTTTACACAAGTAAGTTACAACTTAAATAATTTAAAAAATTAATAGATTTTTGAACCTTGGCTAATATTAGTATCATTATTTTTTATTAATTTTTTTAATTTATTTAAAAATTAAACTAAAATACTGTCAAATCATTGATATTATTCAGAGAAATAAAAAACCATCGTCAAATTACAAAAAAAATTTTCACAATTAAAAAAAATTAGTCAATTAGCTTCAAAATATCTATAAATAATTTTTAATAAACAAATAATTTATTTAATAATAAAATAAACTTAAAAAAATTGCACTGTCATTACAATCACGTCAATATATAACCTGTAAAATAAACAGTGTTATTGTCACATCTGAGTCAGTGAAATTCCAAATAAAAAAGAAAATTTAATTAAAATTATCAAATAAAATATTTCTTACCATTTTAATTATTTATTTTTGTAATCCTGGACTTTAATTAATTAAAAAATTAAGTAAACTTTCAGTTGCTTCCGGACAAACGGCTCCAAGCTTCGATAAAATACAAGTTTATTATTATTATTTAGTGTGAGAAATGTCGGACAAGTGAATTTCTACTTTATGGATTCGATGGATAAGAAAAAAAGAAAAAAACACTAGCGCTTACTTTAAAAGAAATTCAAAAGTAATTATTATATTTCAGATAATTTTTTCAATAATTAGTTTTGTCACTTAATTTTTTTTATTAATAATGAAAAATAAACAAAAAAATTTTTTTCATAATAATTTTATTATGGAAAAATTAATTTTATTTTAATTTACGTTTTTTTTTTATTAAAGGTAATAATTTATAATACATATTTATTTGCAATAGATAATTTTTTAACTATTTAACTTTAATAAACCAATAAACCAATCAGATTAAATTCAAATAATTTTTTATTTAATTTTATTAAAATAGCTAAATTTTATTAAAGTTTTACTAAAATTAAATAAAACTTTAACTTAGCGTTTTAACTTGCCAAAATTACAAAAAAAAAAAATAAAAAATGAGCAGCCTCTCTCCATGGTCCGCGCGAATCTTAGTACCAGGCGCGGCGACTACCTTCCGGGCGGTAAGTATTTTATTTTAATTTCTATTTAATTTAATTATGCAGCCGAATAAATTAGTGGTTTTATTTACAGTAAAGACAACTTGATGACTTGACTGCCGACCCCCAGCTTTTTTAACTTAAAGATCACTGGACAAAAAAAAATGCAGTCTCTCGTCATGGTCCGCGCGAATCTTAGTACCCGGCGCGGTGACTACTCTTCGGGCGGTAAGCGGTAAGTATTTTAGTTTAATTTTTAATTTAAATTCATTTTGCAGCCGAATAAATTAGTGGTTTTATTTACAGTAAAGACAACTTGATGACTTGACTGCCGACCCCCAGCTTTTTTAACTTACCAAGATCGCTGGAAAAAAAAATGCAGTCTCTCGTCATGGTTCGCGCGAATCTTAGTACCCGGCGCGGCGACCACCTTCCGGGCGGTAAGTATTTTATTTTAATTTCTATTTAATTTAATTATGCAGCCGAATAAACTAGTGCATTTATTTACAGTAAAAACAATTGTCTACTTGACTGTCGACCCCCAGCTTTAACTTATCAAGATTGTAAAAAAAATGTCAGTCTCTCTTCATGGTCCGCGCGAATCTTAGTACCTAGCGCGATGACTACCCTCCGGGCGGTAAGTATTTTCGTTTAATATTATTATTTAATTTTGCAGTCGAATAAATTAGTGAACTTGCTTTCTAGTTAAGACAACTTGGTTACTTGACTGCCGACCCCCAGTGATGACATCCCGAATCCAGATCCCGCTCCAGAGTCCCGGAGAAGAAGATTGAAGCTGGTGAAATAATAAACAAGTGCTTGGTAAGTTTCCGAATTTAAATACTTAGGTTTGAAAAAACAAACTCTTATTAATTACAATATTTTATTTGATTCATTTAGATCCTGCACTTTACATCAGTGAAAACAATTAAACCTGCCAGATGATCCATAATTTTCTTCTCACCAACGAATCATCCCTTAGAACTACTAAAAATAGACTCTACTCGAAGCCGTTACAAAGTGCGGGACATTTTACAATTTCTATTCGAAGATATTTTACATCATTTATTTGGTAAATATAAATTTCATTTATTACTATTATTAATAATAATTTATTCAAACGTTATTTATTCTTAGCTACCGATTATAGTCCTTAAAAATACTCTTTAATAATATTTTGCACTTTAGTCTTCGAAAGTCACTCTAATTAAGCGCGCATATAAAATAAAAAAAGCTACATATCATTTTTTTTTAATTTATCTATAAAATTTATCACATACCGTGATAAAAAATTTAACAGAATTTTATTAATATATTAATATTAATATTTGTATATATATATAAACCTGAGAAAGGCGCAAACAAATACGTTAAAAAATTACATTCGTACCTTTCTCATTAGAATTTTAATTATATATTCGATTTATAAATTGGTAAAGTATTAGGTAAAACGATTATTGCCAACATTTTGTTATTTTTTATAATTAGTTGCATTTATATGGAGTACATCTTTCTTATTATTATTATTATTATTATTTATTTATTCAATACACGTTATAAATAATTTAAATGACTAATTAGGAGCAAGCAAGGGAAATTATTCAATTGTCGGTAATATAGAAATTTTAATAGAATTTGATAAAAACTTTGATTTTAATTTTTGATATAATTTTAAGGAGATCCACGTGTTGAAATTTTTAAAACTTCCTGAAAATTTGTAAATTCAATCTACGTAGCTTAATAATTAATAATTTATCGGAAATTTCTTCAAAAATGTTATTAATTAATTTTAAGAAAAAAGTATTTCTACGTATTAATTTTTTATAGACATTCTTTACACTTTGGATCTCCTTAAAAGATATAAAGCTAAAATTTTGATTTTATCCGACACTGAGATTAACAAATATAAGTCTATACATACTCATATTTTTACATACTTAAATAAACTAGGCAATCTTACGACGCAGCCGAATAAGCCCTAAGCTTTATCCATTAATATAACCTCACAACCCTTTTGTTTAACCTATCAATTATCAATTAATTACCGATAACTTTACCCACTAGTGATTAAAAGCGCTACATGATATATGCTATGATCTATGATCTAGGTTAAAATATGTACGATTAATTAACAATTGATAAATGTCCAACAATTTAATTGACTCTCTAGGGTTCTAGCCGATTCACTAAAAGCCAAATAGTGATTTTGATATGTGCATTTAATGATTATTCATTATAAAATACTTTATAATTTATAATCCTATCACTGTTGCATTATTAATCTCAGTACGTCGAATTTTAAATAAACATTCATTAATTTTACGTGTATCGAATAGTTTTGATCAAAAGAAATTCATTTTGATTTTATTCTCTGGCTCATTTTTAATCAAATTAACAAAACTTTATGGTTTTTGCTAAAATAATTATTGACTCAAAACACGTCCATGCTCCTTAAATTAATTATTTTAGATCTTTAAGGTTATGTCACTCGTCAAATTAAATTGACTTCTCGTTAGTAAATTTTTTTTTAATATTAATTTTCAAACTAAAAATATCTTATCACATTTTATAATTTTTAACTAACTAATTATAAAAAATCTATGATTTTTATTTTTAATTTCGATAAATATAATTCTAAAATTTCTAATAGAATTTATTTTGAGCGTTTAATGAAGTCTTAGCTTGATTCTATTCCAAGAAAAAATTTGATAATTATTTACAAGTGGGGTCAAGTAAAAAATTAACATTTTTAATTTTATTTTGCGCATTTATGATAAAAAATATCGTGAAAGAAAAAAATAAAAATTTTGATAGCTTTTTTTTGCTTTTAAAGTTTAGCCCACTTGTAAATATTTACCAAAAATTCCTACATTTTGATAATAAATTCAACGTTTAAAAAGTTAACGAAAAGTCAATTAAAATTAAACCGAGTCATAACCTACTACATATAAATCCTAGCCTTACTAATTGCTTTAGTCTATAATAAACCTGATATTTGTTTAGCACATGGCTGATGTTGATAAATGCAAAATACCCTACAGGATTTATAATGTATATAATAATAAAATTACAATTATAAATTACGTAAATATTCATAAACATCTTTGGCCACTAGACATTATTTTAAATATTATCGCCTATTAATAATTAATTGTTTGTAAAGTTAGATGATTTTTAAGCCGCTGTCGATTAGGATCCTTACTTATCGTCTCTTTCTCTGATAAGAGCCTCTTCGGCCTCCTTTCTTCGGGCCTTGGCCTCTTTCTTCGCGCGTTTCTTTTCTTCTTTAGCGAGTTTCTTGGCCTCTTTTTGCCGGGCTTTTTCCGCCTTTTCCTCCTCTTTGAGCCTCGCTTTTTCCGCTTTTTCGCGTTCTTTCTCCTTCTCTTTTTCTTTCTTAGAATTCTGGACCTCTTGAACGACCGTCAAAGGCTTTCTTGAAACACTACTGGGTCTTTTTGTCGCTGGTGTTTTTGAAGCCGTTGAGGAGCCGGCTAGTGGGGAGGATGATGATAAAGCCGAAGATGTTGAGGTTGACGACGTCATTGTTCTAGTCGTCGACGCTTCCAAAGGTTTTGACGTCGTAGGGCTGCATAGGGACATTCTATAGCTCGGTGTGATCTCTAACTGTGTCACAATCTTCTGTGCGCATCTAAAAGACCAAAATTACATTAAAATTGACCCATTAATTCAATTTAGAACAAAAAAGTCTTACCTGAGCCTCGTGGAAGCTTTTCCAGCTCGGTAATCCCTCTGAAACTCTTTTATCGGCGGTAACCGACGGTCGGTCTTGTTATCGCGGTTCTCGTCGTTATCGACAATTTGCGGATTAGGGTCTTGGTACTCGTGAATGCGCATCTTCATCGACTGGGTCTGAGTCCGCCTGAAGGTAGCTCCCGAGGGCTGCCTAAGATGGCGCGAGGGCTTAACCAGGGCGCTGGAGGCACTTCCTGCTGATGAAGATGTCGCTGATGAGACGGAAGACACGCCAGATATGGAGGACGATCCACTGGCCATTGAGTAGAGTGACGCTGATGCTGGTACGTTTCCGCTGGACCATCTACTGCTTCCGCTTGTTCCTACTCCGCTGCCCATATTGTATTCTGATGCACTTTGCGGCAGCACCCATGATTTTCCAGACATCGAGTACTGCGATAAAAGTATTTAAAAATTAGCTAAGACCCAAAAAAATCCCATAATAAAATAGAGATGAAATGTATGTGGCATCAAACTATTCGTAACGTGATTGGTCAAATATATCATGAGTTTAACTAAAAATTGAGGTTAAGACTTACGTCGCGAGGAATTAGGGTCTGTTTCAATCGTAGAATTTTAGCCCGACAGATGACGCATCTTAGGGGCAGCAGTCTTTGAGAAACGGCCATTTGTATTGTTTTTACAAAGCACCGTCTGCGGAAAACAGTTTAAAGTTTCAATTAAAGCATAACTTATTTTTACAACTAATTTAATATGAATTAGCAAATTACCTGCAAACTACGCGATGACCACATGGCGCTGTCTGCATGGTTGCTCTTGCGTTCACGCAGATGACACACTAAACAAAAAACAAACCGTTTTTATTATATCTACCTAGGATCTTTTCATTAAAATTGATTAGGGTTGATAAAAAAAAGAACAATTGGGAATTTTGATTAATCTTGCATTTATTTTTATTGCCATCTACATTTTTCAGTATAAATCAGCATATAGGTGCCATTCATGAGGATAATATATCATTTTATTAGAATTCTAGAATTGTTAGAATTCTAGAATTTTTTTGGTGGTTGTGGGGGTCCGCCTTGAGGCATTTGAGGTGAGCGTCCCATCCTCTTTCCTTTCGTCATTCCTAAAAAATAAATTAGGATCAAAAAAAGATTTTTTTTTAACGCATAGATTCAATCTTTTACCTCGAGTTTGGTCATGGGCGCCATAAAATGACTCGGGAAAGATATCAAAGTCACCAAGGCTTCTCTTGTTTCTTCCTCCAGCGCCTCCTCCCATACCTGCTCCAGCTTGTGCTCCAAATCCAAATCCTGCTTTTGCACCAGCTCCAGCTGCGCCACCAGGACCACCACCTCCACCAAGTCCGCCACCAATTTCTCCACCCATGCTAAATCCTCCACCCATTCCTGCGCCTCCACCAGCTCCTGGCATTCCAGGAATGTTTGGCATTTGTGCAGTCTGGAAAAATTTTATTATAAATACGGAATATTAAATTCAAATCAATAATCTTTGAGAATAAAAGAAAATAACTTACCGCAAGGACTGCGCAGCTTACGACAAGCGCAATTGTTAATCCGTTCATGTTCGAATTATTTCTGACGTCCAGTGGCAATTTTCTTGTCTTATATACTCACAATTTGTCACATCTGATATAAAATATAAAAAACGCAATAATTTTATATCAGATTCGTATCTCGGTTATTACATATTTGTTTTTTTGTTTTCATTTCCCAGGACTTTGAGCGTCAAAGATTACTTTGATTCAATCCTTTGACAGGAAATATTATTCTGATTCAATTGTTCCGTGTCAATTATGTTTAATTATTAGGTGACACCAAATAATTAGTTTAATATTGTTACTTTTGTGCAAACAATGAATTTTATTGCAATTACTTTATTTGATTTTTAAAAATTTTTCTTGGAATTTATTGTTTGACACAAGATACGTCTTTTATTTTTTTAAAGGAAATTATATAATGAAATAATTAATTTTTTTTTATAGTAAACAAGTTATTCAATCTAATCTCACGATTTTTTTTATTAAAAATTAAAATAACTTCAAATTTTCCGCTAATTTTTTAGTTAATGACGCCTCCGTGTGGCGTCAGTAGTAAACACAGTGGCCATTTTGTAATTCCAGCCGGTTATAACACTTTTTCTTTATTTATAACAAAATTGCTGACATTTTAACAGCGATTTTGTGAACAATTGTTCATTTTATAATTTTAAATCTAATTTAAAAAGAATTATAGTGATTCATTTAGTTTTTTACAAGATATAGTAAATATTCTAAATGAACTTGATAAGTAGGTTATGAATAATGATACGGGAATAAATTTTTGTAAATATATTTTTATTGCCACCAAAATAATACAACAGTGCTAGATTATAATCAATATATCGTACAACAATCGGTCAAGTTTCTTCAAAATTTAACAAATCATTGATCTGAATCAAAAATTGCTGAATTTGGGAGGTTCTGGTTTAGGTCCCTGGCGTCCTTGTGGAGAGCGACGCCCTCTTGCACCTCCGTTCACAACTATTAACAGAAAACCATAAATTAACATGATCATTGAAGCTTATAATAAACTAGGAATTCAAACTTTAATTCTGAACCAGTAAGGAATCAGGGTCCATATTTTCAAGTCATTTCTAAGCTTCAATCAACCATTAATTTTAATATATAGGAAAATTACCTCCATTTGGAAAAAGTTTCTCATCAATCTCAACAAAAAAATTTTCAGCCCCAACATCAGAAGCACTTCGCTTTTGACGTTCATTGTTTGAATCAGAACCTCCAAGTCCACTGGCTTGTCCTCCAGCTTGAGCACTAAATCCGCCGCTCATTCCACCACTTCCAGCGCCACCTGGCATACCTCCTGGAGGTGGAGGTGGTGGAGCCATTCCAGGTCTTGGTGGTCCTTGATCAGGATTTTGGGCTGCCTAGAAAATTATTGAATTGCTTCTAAATAATATGAGATACTGAAAAATTGATAAGGATTTTTTTTTGTAGAGAGTTTGTACTGCTACAAAAAAAGTTTCTTAATATTTTTTTTGCGGGTCAAAATTAAAATTGGTCTTGGACCCATAACCTGTTGGAATCTCTAATGGAATACTGGTTAAGGTTAATGAGTAGTTATAAATATGAGGAGCCGTTAAATATGCATCTATACTTGATGATTTATTACAACAGACTAATATATTGGCTCATTTTTAATTTAAGGTTTGTCCTTGTAATCTTTATTACCCAAACCAGGTTCTTGGGCCCATAACCTGTTGGAATCTCTAATGGAATATTAGTTAAGGTGAATGAGTAGTTATATACATAAGGAGCTGTTAAATATGCATCTATACTTGATGGTTTATTATAACAGACTAATTATACAATATTTAATACTTACCGCCAAAACTGCACACCCCAAAAGGCAGATAACTAAGAATCCGTTCATTTCAACAAATTTAACTGATCTCTTCACAAAATACTCCGGGTTTATATACACCTCTAATGATATTCAACAATAAATCATCTTGCACAACACTTTTCATAAAAAAATCATAATTATGATTGCCCAGATAATAAAAATAGTTATTGTTCGAAACAAAAAAGCGTCCTTGCAAACTCTAAACTCCCGGGAAGCTTTTAAATATGAATTAAGACACTTAATAATAAAATAGTTCGCGGAAAATTTTACACCAGCGATAATTATTAATGATAATTCGCTTATGTAACGAGAAGAATTATCGGTCTTTTAAGTAAACAACAAACTCACCTCGTCTTCCTGGGAAGAGGCGAGCTCCGGTTCATTTTCTTCCAACTTGGTTAGTAGTTTATCCTGAAACAGAATAAACTTTTGTAATTACCAATTCTGATTATTAATTAATTGTTAGCCGGTTCATTTATTCCGTACATATATTTATATCTAAATTCATTTATACCGTGAGTTTTAATTGATGGTTAATAAACAGTCTCGCGTTAATAATTAACGAATGTACGTTCAATTTCAGGGATAATTGTGGTATTAATAGAAACATTCATTGAAAGTTTGCAACAAGTAATCGATACGACGATAAAGTCGCTTTCATTTTACATCAACGTTATTTATGTTTTACAATTCTAATTTTATAGTTTGTTGTTTACAATTCATGTATAATTAACGAGGTTAACTTTGAATCTAACAATAGTAGAAAAAAATTTTTTTTTGCATTAGTGTAAACAGGATAACTCGAGAAAGAATCGACCAATTGACCTGATTTTTTGTGAGTAGTATTGTTGTATCAATCCAAAGGTCCGTATTAAAAATCAGCTCTCAAATCCTGTCGGTTTGATTGGTATCTCATGTTTTGTTAAAGGATAGTAATTAAATAGACTCGGGTATAAAGGGTTGGACTTACAAGAGATTACCAGAATTATTGTGTAGGAATTATCTTAACTAGAATGCCGCTGATGAATCCTTATTTTGACGGGGATGAGTTGGACTATCGGTATCAGAGCATGAGCTAGTTTCTGGCTGAACTATACTCTACTCTATGAGTATTACGTTTCAGTGCACTTTCCACTCTGTTCTGTTCTATTCTGTTCGGAAAGTGACCTCGATATTGAAAACCACCCGACTATACGGTGGCTTGCACTCGGTCTTTTGTCCGTCGCCGATTGTGTTCTATTAAATTCAAACTGAAAATTTTCAATTAAAAACAAAGACAAAAATAAATTTTTAGCGGGAAGTTAAAAAAAAAAATTAGGTCGGGATTCGAACCCACGACCTCAAATTACCGCCCAAATTCATCCAGTGATTTATCATAAGTCTAGCTCTGAATTAAACATCTCGTTCTGAATACGAAATAATAAAAAGCATAGTCGCTTAAAAATTGAGACGGACATAACCAAAAAATTAATCTGCCGGGACAGTCGAGCCGGAGACTAAATGTGAGTGGGGATATTTTGCGCATCCACCTAATATCTGACAAAACCACCCCAACCACCCTGACCCAGATACTCTCAGCATCCGCCAGCATCACGCCGCTATCTACATGATTCTATTGCACCCCTCTCCCCACTCCTCCTAAGTCACCCCCGACGCGCTCAATCTTGTACTGTATACATTTACTGCAATTTCTATATCACAGCCCACACCTTGTTACGTGCCACAGTGTCATAACATCTGTCATATGAGACGTATCATTTATATTTTTTTTATATATCATGGAAATTTTAATATCTGATCTATTATGAGGGTAATTATTACTACTTATGGAAAAGAGTTTTTTCTTTAATTATTTTTAGTTGAAAACATCAAATAAATTTTTTTTATTTATTTATTAATATTAATTGCAATTTTTTAATATCTTTAATTTTTAATTTTTAGAAATGTTTTATTTTATATAAAAAAAGTTTTATATTGACAATTTAAAGGTTAAATATGTATTTAAATATTAAAATTCATAATAAGTAATTTTAAACCGAAAATTTTCCCGCCTAATTTAAATTTGAATTTTATTTTTAGCGACAGATAGTAAAATAGATCACTTTATTACCAACAATAGAAATTTTGAGATTTAGATTATCAAAACCAAGACAAAAATTTTTTTTTTGCTTTCTGAAGCTTGAAGGAGGATTTTAAGTGTGAGAATTACAAATAATTAATTTTTTTTTGCGTTTTCCGATAAATTATACTTTTAAAAAAATTTTTTTTGAATGGCTATTAGATTTAATATTGAAGAACTTAATTAAATTCTGAGGTTGGATAAATAGAAGTAATAAATCTGAATAGAATTGGTCGTTAGGTAAATTGAATTGCTCTGCTTACAATAATTTTCATGGACAATTGACAGCAAAAATACGGTGATTATAAAAATGAATGAAAACTAATTTAACAAAGTAAAATAGCTGATCAGAAAATGTAAATGAAATATTCGATAAAGAGAACCCTATTGAATTCTATTTTTATATTCATTTTATTTAGATAGTTACGTGATTGCTATCGTATTGATTCGCTCCAAGCTACTGAAAAATTCCTCATTGTTATTCCACTAAAAAATATTTAAATTAAACGAGTAGAAAATTAATTTTTTATTGCCCTAAAATCGTGGAAGGAATATTATTAAAGTCAATAGTAAATCGTAAAGTAACCAAGTGTAAAATCTAAACTAAACTCTCTTAGTCAGCGGCGCTGAAACTAAAGATTTAGAAAAAAGAAAATGGAAAAAGTTTTAGCAGGAACAAAAAACTTAACGATCTTTAAAGAGATCACTAGACACAGTCGTAACTCGCCGAGAACAATCGATTGCATTCAGTTTACCGTGAAGCATCGATCAGTTAACATTTCTCTCCATTTCTCAGGATTTCATTCTATTTATTTTTAAAAATAATCCAAACAATTTAAAAGTGTGAATTTTTGGATATGTTGTCTTCACTATTCGCTTCGATGTTTTGCCGGCTGATAGTCATCCCGAGAGGTAATACTCTTTTTTATTTTCAAATATTCATTTTTATTAAAACCGCGATTGATTTTTTACTAACTGATGAATTTTTATTTTTATTATTATTAATAATAATTATTTATTTACACTGATGGGCAGGATGTTTGAACACGATGATTTAAAAGTGCAACTAAGTGTGAAGGCTATGAAAATTTAGTGAAATGAAAGTCATTTCACGAGCCACAAAGAATCTAATGATTTATGTCGCTCAACAAACCGACTAGTCATTGTTTTTATTGTTATTTGCTACTATACTTTTTATTTTACAATTTCAATATTATTTTTTATCATAAATAGCATTTATAATTTTGGGCCTTACAATTTTTAATAAAAAATAACAATAATTTATTGCTTTAATCAGATATCAAAACCTCAATATAATGTGAAAAGGTTACTAGAGTAACAAAGTAAAAGGACTAAACATATTTACAACATTTTTTCATATAGTTAGATAAACAGTAAATTTCTATTTTTTATCGCATCCAAAATCATGAAATAATACGAAAAAAACCGCAGGTAGTTGGGATTAATAAATGACAAATTAAACAATCATGTTATTGTTATTATTGCGACGTTTCGACTCTATTGAGTCTTCATCAGGTTCTGAAAAATCCATACATAAATTTATAAATAGAATCCAATTTTATTGTGCTCTATTACAATCGTTATAACAAACTATAAAATCTTACGATAATTAGTACATGAAAGTTGTCAAAATAATGTATGTTAAAAAATTGATAAACAGTAAATTAGTGATATCTGTTTTGGAATAAAAGCAAATTGTTTATTCCCGCGAACGATTTGCGCTCTTGTTATGTTATTTAATATTTTGCAATATTTTTGCCGTTCGGTAAGCAAGGTAATTGGTTTTTTTTATGAGGCAGTAATTAAATAATTTTATTTAAAGTTCAAATCCATTAAAATTGATATTAGTGTAAAAAAAAGCGGTAGCGGCTACTTATTTACAATTGGTAGCTGCTATCTACTTTTTCTTACCAATGTCAATCAAAGTTGAAAAATTTTTGCTGGTTTGTCTGAAAAATAATCATTAGCTGCTACTGATATGTATCTAGTAATAATTTGTTTCTCTACAATTCCAATGAACCCATCAAACTATTTTTAATATCAGTCCTACATATTTTTTCATCAATTTAAAAAGATAAACCTGCAAAAAGATAGTTGTAATTTTCATCGATTATGAAGTTATTTGACTAGTAAGCTCACTCAAACGTAAATTAAATGACCTAATTTTATTTAAATACTACAGTTGCTGAATCAAGTATTCATATCTCCCCATTACCAACTGGTACATGCGGATTTTGCTGCTCTATAGATTTAAATCGTGATATTCAATACCATCTTTATACAAGGTACCATTAACTAGATTACATATTTTTTTTTTTTAAATATAATATCCTAATTCAATTTAATTTACAAAATTAAATGAAATTTTTTATCTAATTCAAATTTATGCAAGAATTTTCGACGCAATAAAATAAAAGTTCCATTGAATTAAACAGAAAAAACCCAACACGCCCGCAACTCTTAACGTTCGAAAAGTCGAGCTTGGAAAAGAGTTATTTCGAGCCACTAAATCCGACAGTTTTTTACATTCACGGATACGCTGAGCAAGCTACTGGAGACAGCGCCAGAGCCATTCTCAACGGTTAGTAAATTTACATTACTTTTTTTTTTGAATATGCAAATTATCTTTTTATATTAATTCCTCTCCTTTAAACTACATTTTTAAATTTATACCCTCACAGTCTAGTTCCCGCGCATTTAAACGTACTTCTAAATTCAGTCTCTTAAACATTAATATCAAAAGTGCGAATGTTAATTACATAACCTCACTTAACAATTCCAGCGTACCTAAAGCGCGGAAAGTACAACGTCATCTTAGTAGAGTGGGGGCGCCTATCCGCCATGCCGTGGTACGTAACAGCGGTAAAAAACACCCGTAGGGTCGGTTCTCATGTAGCAGAAATGGCAAAATGGCTGGAGCTGAACAACGCGCTAAAGCTTCCAAAGTTACACGTGATTGGGTTCAGTTTGGGCGCTGAGGTCGCCGGGTTCATGGGAAAGGCCTTAGGACCTCGAAAGGTGAAAGGTTGTGATAGATTTTACCTAAATTACTAATTCTATCTAAACTGGACCCTCTATTCTCCGTTTTTGTTTGTTTAGGTTGGCAGAATAACTGGTCTTGATGCGGCGTACCCTCTTTATATGGACAAAGGAGCCGAGGGACACCTGGCGCCATCTGACGCTACTTTCGTGGACGTCATACATACCGACGGAGGGATTTTTGGGTTTCCTTCGCCGATTGGCCACGCTGACTTCTATCCAAATGGCGGACGACCGCTACAACCTGGCTGCACTGCTACTAACTTCATTGCGATGGGCATGTACAGGATTTTCCGGCATTACAGTGAGTTTTTTTTATTATTTTGCATGTTTATTTTTCTTAATTCAATTTAGTAAGTTAGGATAAAAGCAAAAAAAAAGTTGGTTTTTTGGTTAGTTTTGGTACAATCGTCATTTTAAAATCGCAAGTGGGCAAAATGGCGGCTTTGGTGTTACAAACTGTAGATTTAGGTATAAGGTAGTTAGATTTAGAGGTTATACGCACTTTTTCATTGAAAAAAGTTATTTAAAAATTACTTTTGAAAGAATATAATTGAAGAATTTTTTTTTTTAATCTTGTAAACAAGATATCTGAGGAAAAAAATGAAAAATTGATCTGATTTTTCGGAATTAGACCTGTTTTATACATTTAAATAGCGCTATTTAAATTTAGATCCTAAATTTAGTCCATTCAATAAAAATTTCTTGGTTTTGGGAGATAAGTGCGTATAATTCTGTAGAGAAGGTGGTTACTGGCAATAATAACTGGAAAAATGTTAAATCAGTTGTCTGCAGCCACAATAGAGCCTGGCGCTACTACGTGGAGTCGATAAATAACCCGTGGGGATTCCCAGCCACTCGGTGCTTAAGATGGCGGCCTAACTTGAGAAGTTGTACTTGGAAAAAGGACGCTGTCATGGGATTCGCCACGGATCCGAGGACGAGGGGAATTTTTTACTTGAGAACTAACTCCAGGACGCCTTTTGCGAGAAACTTGACTGATTATCCTCCCAAGCATTTTTTAGTTAGCGTTAGGTTAAAAGACTGATAATATTTTATTTCTTCGGGAGTATTTAGAGTATTTTTTTATAAAACTAGTAACCTTGCAGTCACTATGTGACTTGTGAATTATAAATAAATAAAATTTTACTTTATTGAATAATGAATTATATTAAATCCCTGATTAAAAAAAAGTATTGAGACAAAGAGAAAAGTATTGAAAAGTATTGGATTTCTAGTCAATCCAATACTTTTTAATACTTTTTTCTTTGTCTCAATACTTTTTTTTATTCAGGGATTGCAATATATTTTTTTAAATATTGACCTTTTTAAAGATATAAGCTCATCTCGATGTTACTCTCATTAAGAGCTTTCATTTGAGTACCCACATGTATTTTTGATATATTTTTCATATATAGATATATATAATATATATATAAATATATAAAATATTTGAAAAATCGATGTGGGTATTCTAATGAAAGGTCTTGATATTTGTAACATCGGGATGAGCTTATATATCTTTAAAAATGTCAATATTTCATAATAAGATACAAGGTAATTTCTTAATTATATATAGACACAAAATTTTTCTTATTCTTTCAATAATATAGATAATTTTTTTACTCACAAATTTATTCCTTAGTGAAAATTCCCTCCCGATTTTTTCCAATGCATCAGATCTTCCTCAAAAGCTATAACGGTTCAATAACCCGGTAAGGTCTATTCATCGTTTAAAATATTCAGGTGGACACGTCGATAACAATTGTCGGTCTATACACTCAGGAAAGCACGTACTACTTATATCCGAATCTACTGGCTATATATATGTATATATACATAAATGTACATATATATAAAGTACTTGAATCGTACAGCAGTTACCGAGTGCTCTCGAGTACTTCTATTGTCGGTTTAAAAGTTTATAAAATACAACTTAAAATAGAAAATAAAATAAATGAATTGTACTGAAGCCAAAAATTCAGAGACGACCTTTTAAGTTTTAACTTTCTCGTAGTAAATATTACAGTAATTATTAATCTTCGAGTAAAGATATCATGAATGAGTATCGATTCATTAAGTTAGTTATTTCAGGAATATTCACTCACTCTTAGACACTCTTATGATTGTAATTAAGGAACATAGTTGTCATTGTGATTCCTAATTACGATATCGGGCCGACGGTGACGTCGACGGAAATAACTCCACACTTGAGGGCAAAATTACCGCGTAAGTTACATAAGAAGGGCGGAGGCGATAATTGACACTACTTTTCACCTTCTAATTATTGATCTGTTGCTCATGGGCATATTTATATACATATATATAATGTATATAAATATATGAAAAATTGATGGGGGTACTCAAATGAAAGGTCTTGATGAGTGTAACATCGGGATGAGCTTATATCTTTATAAATGTCAATAGTTTACGAGATACAAGGTCATTTCTTAATTAAGTATCTAGAGATAATTTTCGAACGCAGTCTGAATATTTATCATAATTAAGTTCTTACCGACTGTTGTTAAAAACAATTTTTGTCTTACCGATTGATAGTACTAAAAGAAGCAATTTTTACCTAGTTAAAAAGTTTCTATGTCCAGATTATTACATTCAAGAAAAAAATTTTTAACTCTAGTTGACATTAAAAAAATTAATTCAAAGATTGATTGTGATAAGATTGAATAAGTAAGGTATTCAACTAGAGGTAAGAAAAAAAATTTTTTATAATTATACTAAAAATGACAAAATAAATTTCCGTGCATGCGTCAGTCAATAATGTAATATAATAATAATATAATAAATAATAATAATAATAGTAGATCGGATCTTAACGTGAGACTAGCGTGATCAAAATCTTATCACATGTCGTTGTCGTCTATTGCACACTCATACTTGGTGTATTTTACATATATTTTTTATTTTTATATATTGTAAGTATACATTATAATAATAATCATAATATTATTATTATTTTATTATTATTATTAAAAATTTTTAAGTACATTTTTAATAATAATAATAATAATAATAATAATAATAATAATAATAATAATAATAATAATAATGATAAAAATAATAATAAATTGTATTATAATTATTATTGCTATTATTATTATTAAATCTGAATTGGCGCCTAAAACCCAACTAAATACCAAGTATAATTTTATTCTTATTCGGTAACAGGCAATATAATGTATATTGCCGGGTGAAGCCATCAAGGTTGAGGTCTCATGATTCACAAGGTCCTCATATTTTTATTTCATTTTTTTCTTGTCGACTTCCTTCCACTTCTTCTACCCCTCTCCCTCCTCTTTTCTCTACGCGAACAATCCGCGACCCGCGACCCGCGTTATTTTATCAGCACGCTAACTTAAACGGTGAATTTTGATTCTATCTAAATTTTAGTTTCTTAAATAACTATTGTTAAATTTTCTATTAATTCTTATCACAATAATAATAATTTAATTAAAAAAAAAAAATTTTTATAATAATTTAGTAAAAAGTGATTGTCATCTAAAAGCCCCTGGAGGTCTCATTTACAAGTGATTAAAGCCCGAGGCGTAGCCAAGCATCCTAAACAATTACTCCGTTCTCCCACAAACTTTTCGGCTATAATATAAATTTATACATACATATATATACCCCCGAGAAGTATAATTGCTTGAGATATAAGTCAGTCTGGTTTCTCCCTCCATTTTCTTCAGCCTTTATCCGCCATCTCGTAAAGCCCGAAAAACTTTTGGTTCCATATCAATTATTCAAATTTCTCCGGATGATATGAGCATTTGATTTGACAAAACTTTTACCAAGAAACTCTCTACTCAAGTTAACTCAATCGTAAACTTTATTTTTCAACCCAATAATCTCTCTTTTATTTTATTTATTTTTACAAATATATTTTAGTGCTTCCCGCAAATAATACATACACCGCTATCACGTTTTTTGATTCTCAACCTTAAACACAACAGTATTTTTACATAACCACTTTTATTTAATCATTTTCTTTATCGCCACACTTTTTATTACTTTCTTTGTGTTTATGGATTCCTTCCTCAGGTCATCAACCTCAAACTTTTTTTCACTCCCACGTTAGCGTGATAAGCTGGTTACTTATTTTCATTTTACAACCGCTTGTATTCACAATATTCACATAATTCAACTCATACGTAACAAAGTAATTTAAAACATTCAAATTTACCGCCAAATTTTAATCAAAATTAAATTTTACTGACAGATGATAAAATAGTTCGCAATCTTATCGATAACCTCAATGTTATGATCTAGAATATCAAAACCAAGAAAAGAATTTTTCTAAAGCTTTAAAAGGTACCTATCGAGTAAAAATATCCAAAAAATTAATTTTTTTGAATTTTTAAACAGTTTTTACCAAAAATATGTCCTAAAAATTTTAAAACAATCTTTACAATAGTTTTTTTTCTTTTAAGAAGACCCAATAAGTACCCTTTTAGTGTCAAGAATGTCTAAAAAAATCTTTAAATTAATTAATAACATTTTTGAGGAAATTTCCGATAAATTTACTCATTAAATAATTAACATTTATTTGACTAATAAAACAATACAGCACTCTGAATTACCGGTATACACTTAACAACACAAAAACAGTGTCCCTAACCTTCAAATTTATTTATGTTTACTGTTTAACTAAAATGACTAAGATCTAGAATATAAAAAACCGCGGTTACTTATGCTTTGGGTAACTAAGCAAGCGGTGTTGCCAAGTCAAATACAAGACTTTAAAGAACGCGAGTTCCGAGTGATTTTTCATAAAAAATATAAAATATTTCCGTAATACGTTCGGAAAGCTACTTTTATTATTATTTAAATCGAAAGCTTATTATTTTTTCAATCAAATTCAATGGAAATAAAATTTTTTTTAAATCGTTAATTGCATTAAATTCTTAACCAAATACCGTCTGGTAGAATCTCTATTCATGTAAAAATTACAATTTTACCTAATTATTTGATTAAATCCCTCAAACCTGTTTTTTAATTTTATTAATTATTAGGCTACGTAGATTGAATTTACAAATTTTCAGAAAGTTTTAAAAATTTGACTACTTCTCGTGGATCTCCTTAATACTGCTTAAATTTATAAAACTGCAAAATGTAATCGTTTAAATCCGTACCAGTTAATTATAATCAACGAAAAATTCCTAAAACTGAAGAGAAAGCAATCAGCTGTTAGGTCTGAAGCCGCCATTGAAGATATCAACCCGCGGGATTTTCAAAAATCTTGAATATTGGCGGGAATTTTTACATGTAAAAATTACAATTTTCAAACCTAATTATTTAATTAAATCTCGGAAACCTGTTTTTTTAATTTATTAATTACTAGGTTACGTAGATTGAATTTACAATTATTCAGGAAGTTTTAAAAATTTTACTTCGCGTGAATCTCTTTAAATTACTTTTTTCTGATCACACTAGTGGCGCCTATCTCACCAGGGATCCATTCTCTCCCGAACAATGTCATAAACGTAAAAAAAGAATCCTTATTCTCGAAAAGCTTTCAAGGAATTCCATAAACCTCGAACACGTACCTTCTAAAAGTAGACAAAGTCCCGGAGACAATATAAGAAGCGTGGGAGTGATAATAAAGTCTAGGCTCGCTTTTCTTCTTGCAAAAACTCGGATAGTGTAGTGTTGATCGTGTTACCTCACAGGTAATTGAACTTATCCTCCCTACTGTTCTAATTCCCGCGCTACAGTCTCAAGACCGCCTGAGAGACAAATTGCACGCCCCCTACCACCCTTTCTCGGTTACTTACTCACTTAAAGCCAGCCTTAGAGCTTGCAATTGGATAAACCGCCTTTAGGTTACAAACTACCCCTCAAAATCCTTACAAAGCCATCCAATTAACGCGACAATGTTGACAAAAAGACAGAAAAGTTGAGTAATAACATAAAGATACTCACGATTTTATGATGAAGATGCTGCAACTCCCTTTCTGTGATCCTTCTGCGGGACAATTCGCGCTGTTCGCGGCGGTACTGACTGTACTTGTAGAACAAATACATTCCTGGAAGCGCGAGAACCACCAGAGGTTTCATCAGTCCGGCTCTCTCTCTCGCGGGTCCATTGTTTTCGCGGTTTTCCCTCCCAACATCACGAGATCCTCTTTCAGGACGATCCTCAGCTTCTTCTTGGGCTACTGGAGGATCCTCCAGGTCTTCTAATTGTCCTACGTCCTCCACCAAAGCCGGTTCTGCATCTGCTGTTGGCATTTTTTCTCTGAAATGAATAATATTAATGAATGAATGAATGAATGAAGGATTTATTTGTTGTATTGATTATTGAAAAGCTTGAAAATAAAAATATTGAGAGACAATAAGCTCAAGAGTTTAACAATTAAAAAGCATTGAACGAACACACGTCAATTATCGGAATTGAGTACTGTCAGCTTCTTTGTTAAATCGCGTGTAGGCTGCAATTATTCATTTTGTTTTAAATACTTCTGTCTCAATGGTAAATGCATTTTTCTCTCGTTTGTCAAGTAATTAGACTAATTTGATCATTAGCAATCTTGCAGTCATTATGTGAAATATAAATAAATAAAATAATGATTTTTGTTAAATTGCAATGTACTTTTTTAAATATTGACGTTTTTAAAGATATAAGCTCATCCTGATGTTACATTCTTCAAGAGCTTTCATTTGAGTACCCACATGCATTTTTCATATATGTAATATATATAAATAAATGAAATATATGAAAAATTGATGTGGCTGCTCAAATGAAAGGTCTTAATGAGTACAATCTCGTGGTGAGCTTATATCTTTAAAAATGTCAATAGTTCACAAGATACAAGGTAATTTCTTAATTATGTATCTAGATATACTTTTCAAATGCAGCCTAAATAATCATAATAAATTGACTAAGAATGATATGAAACCTTGAAAAGGCACAAATTAAAGACCTTTTCAATGACGCTAAATTCTTCTAAAAAAAAAACCAATTTTATATTAGCTAAAATTTCCAAGTTTAGGAATTCGTTCACTGATCGAATTCAAGGTTCCCTTTCAAACAAACTGCATTAAAACTCGAAACAAATGAACCTACTCAGAAAGTTAAGCCAACAGAAACTGAAGTTAACCCAGCTGTGGAAAAAGAATCTTGGGTTATTCATAACATAAATCAGTTATTGGTTTCGCGCATCAATCCAATTCCCCTTGGAATGCTTCGAGCTTGATCATATGAAAGCTATTCGAAGTTCTTCGGACTAAAGTACCTAAATAATCTTCAGTACTTTCATTCCCAGCCCCATTGAGGATCCAACCTGAATAAAGCAATTGCAGTTAATGAACTATCGATTGTAAAATATAAGAATGTAACTGTAAAGCTGGTTAAGATAACAGTTTATAAAGGTTCGTTAACCGGGTATATTTAATTCGAGCGTCGACTCGGTCTATTTTTAGCCTTGTGCTCTAGAAATACACACCGGGGTCGTATATTGGTGGTAGTACTTCCAGTAATTCCTGCAGCTAGTGGTAGTAAATGTTCATTGTACCATGCAATCTCTTGTCTTCCGGTTTAGCGCGTGGCATTTAGCAATATCTAATATACATATGGAATATGCAACACCCGCAACACCCAACACCCAATTTATGTACCCATATTCATATTCCTACTCAATAAAATGTAGCCAATGACCCACCGGATATCTTCCAGCTCAATTCTAAATTCTTACCTCCGTATTTCTTCAGCTCAGCAATTACCGTCAATCTTCCAAGCGCCGATAAATCCATCCCTTCAATTTTTAATCCTCCTTCCTATCCGTTCTACTGGAATGATAGCACACTCGATTTAGCAGAGTCAGAATCTTTTCCAATTCTCAATCCGGTGCTTTCATGCATATAAATCTACCCTGTAAGTTATTATTCATAAAACTACTATGGATTGTTATCGTAAAGTTCCCTGGCACGATAAAAAAAACCTCAAGCCTTGACATCGCGTTGGCAATGTCTATTTTTTTGCAGCCCTGTTGAGGACAAGGTTCAATATTCCAATTCAACGTCATCAATGAAATTGTTGCAGGAAAATCACTTTGCTTCAACTTCTTGATGAACTTTCAAGCTACCCAATTCAGAAAAGAGCAATTTGATCTTTAGAATTGTGCAGAAAAGTTATTGCCAATGCAATTACATCCAATTTGGTTTGCATTTACATTAATACACGCTCCAATAATCATAAGCTTGAAGCACTAATGCAAATTAGTGCTAATTCCATGATTACCTTTCAGAAATAATGATATAAAATTGCGTTTTTTACCAGTTAATTCATTTCAAAAGTTTCCTTTCTTCTACGATTACGTTTTTGTGATTAATGATGAATATTATCTCTCGGATTGGTTTCCCTCGAGCATCTGGTACCAATCTAATGCCCTTAGCTATGCAAATCAGGTTTGATTTGATAAAAGTAAGATCCAATTTATCAAAAAAGGTGATCAATTCAAGTCAAAATTTGAGCAAAGCTACGTCATGAAGATTACCTCTAAAAGACATCAAGTGGTTCATCAAGTTAAGAGAGCTAAGCCTTTTAGCTTCCCCTAAATATGCAAATGAGTGCTCCCTCCAAAAAGGCTATCCAGAAAATGACGCAATGGAAAATAATGATTTTGGGTGAAAGTAATCCCTAATTTTGGTATTGTAAAAGCGTATGCTTGTCTAAGGTACTATAATGAAGAAAGTAAACATACTCACCAATTGTGGAGGATCTAGGGAGCCAATTGGTGGAACTTCATTGAATTAGCACAATTTAGCACTTGGAAACACTAAAAACCAAAAACGTTAACTGTCCACATGAGTCGGCGTACTTTAAATCTTAATGGTTAAATAATAAAGATATGTGCATTTAGTCGCGATGGCAGGTGAGCTGTTGAAGCAGTTGTGCCGGCGTGGTGGCCGGGCAGCCACTGAATCTACCAGGCGCCTGCAATCCAGAGACATAGTCGGTGGTGGAAAATCGATATAACGAGGAGAAAGCTACCCTCGTATGAAACGCAAGACCGAGACATCGTTACCCTCCCTTAGGGCAGTGTTGGAGATCTAGGGGTAGTAGGATTTGGCAAAGAGACAACCAATGGGGCTCAAGACCTTTCAAGGGACACTTCGGGTGAGTACTTGCTTCTGGATGGAATCCGAGCCCTTAGACATGTTCTCTATTCTACAGAGGCTCGTTCAATTCCTCAGAGGTTATTAAACCCCGTGTTCTGATATCCTGAAAGGGCTGCTTCGGATGTACTAGTGCAATTTGCCAATTAATTCACGGTATTGACAGTCGATTCATCCGAGCATGAAGCTATTTAGTTCCTAGTTTGTTTGGATACATATATCCCTCGGGAAATATCTTTGATGTCATATTTATGGATTATTGATGTCTGTTTATGATGCCGATGATATTCGAGAAACGTTTCCAGCGAAATTTGATAACCTGTAACTGTCTAAGCTTTCAGAGCTTTTTTTTAGTTTTTTACTAGTAACCTTTCGGTCACTATGAAACTGCCGGGACTTGTAAACAATAATGAAATATAATTTTGGTTTATTAAATAATGACTTTTATTAAAATGCCCTGTATTTTCTTAAATATTGACATTTTTAAAGATATAAGCTCATCTTGATGTTACACATATCAAGAGCTTCCATTTGAGTACCCGCGTGCATTTTTGATATATTTTTCATACATACATATATATAATATATACAAATATATGAAATATATGAAAAATTGATGTGGGTACTCAAATGAAAGGTCTTGATGAGTGTAACATCGAGACGAGCTTATATCTTTAAAAATGTCAATAGTTAAGAAATTACAAGGCCTTTTAACACATATTTTGTCACAAGACCTTTACATTTTTACAAAGAAGCAATTTTAATGATAGCTTAACTGTATTTCGGATATCGCAAGCTCCTCTACGCGTTTTTTGCGACTACTGCACTGCGTCATAACTAAAATCCCGAATCCTGTAACATAAAAGTTGGTAAGAAATAAAAAACTTCAAACTGTGCCAAGATAAAAATCAGCAATTAAATTAAAAAAGAGGGCAATTCGGTATCTGAAAGAAAAAGAACACTTTTCCTTTAGTCTTTCCATTTAGCATTTAGCGATCAATTTAGGCCGAACTACTCGACACAGATCGACACCGGCTATGAATTTCGATTATAAATTACACTCCAAACCCAATGACCTTTTCGTTCCTTTGGCGAGCAGAAACCTCCCTCGCTTCAACCTTTCCAAACTTTTCATTATTTCCTTTGCCCTAAAATTAGCCCACATGATATTCAATGGACCAAGATAATAATTGACCACCTGAGGTCCACTTTGTCCAAGCTAAATATATCGCTTCAATCAGAAAGTATCCTTTAATCTTCCCCACGTTTTATTTCATAACATATAACATATAATATGAAATATTAATAAGCAAATAAAATAGTTATTATTATTACTATACCCTCCACCTCTTTTCGAGCTAAAGTACAACCGCTGTGTACTCTCTTAACTCGACCCGAACGGGGTTGTATCGAACGGATGACGTCACGGGAAATGTGACGTCATTACGGTGGTGCTCATCCATATTTAAGGTAACTTTGACACATTTTAAGGCCTTTTAGTCGTATAGCACTCTAAAAAATCGGGAGTGAATTCTAAATTTTTTAACTTACAACATTTCAATCCAAATTATAAATTTTTACTAAAAAAAAAAAATTAACAAGTTTTAAATCCAAAATTATCAACGAATATTTAAAAAAATTTTTTATTTTGTAAATATTAATTATATTTTTCATAAATTTGGACTTTAAAGTTATTTTTTAAACCAATTTTTTTATTATTGAATTTTTTGGTGATAAATCTTGAAGTAAAAAGTAAAAAATAATAAATTATTGATATTAATGCGTTTAATTAATTAAATTTGATTAAAATTAACTGCTATGGCAGTTTTAAAGAATTTTTAATGAATAAATTACTACATAAGGCGCGCAGTAGCCTTTTGGATTGGGCTCTTGCTTACCAAAGCGTTGGACCGGGTTCGAGCCCGGCGTACGCCAATTAATAATTTTAATATTTAATTATTATTAAAAATATTTAAATATTTATTAAGAATAATAGTTTATATTTAAAAAATAAATTATTAGATAGAGAATTTATTAAAAATTACTACTTTTAAAAATTAAAAAAAATATTTAAGCAATTTTTTTTTAAATTAAAAATTTGGATAAAACTACAA